ATATAGCTAATAATTTTATTCCCGCTAAGGCTTTAGCTAACAGCGCTCGGGACGGAGGAACCGTCAATATTAGACGTAAATAGGTTTAGTTTTTCGTATATTATGGGTATTAATTATAAAATGTATATCTCCTTTTAAATCTATTTTAGCATCTTTAAAATAGGTATGATTTATAATATCGTTAAATTATTAAACGGCTTATTTATTTAACGCCCTAATTCCGGCGTTAATACCGAATATTTAACCGATAGCAAAAAAAACGGTAATACTACCGTTCGCGTTACTAATAGCTTAACCGATTTTGGCTTTTAATAAATCGGTAAAATTAAGGTTACGCGGGTTAGCAATTTATACTTTTTTAAGGCTACCGAATATATTTATTACGTAATTAGTTATTGCTGGTACAAGCGCGTTCCTAAAGGCAAAAAAAAGGGCGAGGATAAAAAAAAGGTTAAGAAGGAGGTTAAAAAAAGGAGGTTAAGAAGAAGGAGGACAATAAAAAGACTAATCAGGACACCGATAACGAGCTCTAAAGTAAACGCATTAAAAAATACCCTAAATTACTATATTCCCCTTAGGATAAAAATCTTTAATTTATATATTTATTTTATTATATTTATATTACCCCTAATTATTATATAATACCAAGAGCTTCGTTTTTTAGTATAGAATATATTTATTTGTTTAATTCCCGGCTCCCTTTATAAACACCAGGACTTTTAAAGATATCTATAGATATGAGTGCTATTATGTGCGGTTTGATATTTATTAAAATTTGTTTATAATCGCGCTTATTAATATCTTTATAAATATGCAAATTAATGCAAGGCATCCTATTATTATCGCCTTAAATAGGGGTTTAGCGGCGGCTGCCACATCGCTTGCATTATAGTTATTATAATAAATAACAGATATAAATAGCGCCAAAATTCTATCGTCTGTATCGTCGTTATATATATTGCAGCGATTAGTGGCTTTCGTCTCTTTTTACCGCCCTTTATTTTTAAGCCGCAGCAACCCCGGCGCCCCTATATAGGATCGGCTTTTATATTTCGTCCACTTTATTACGAAATTTTTTTTAGTCTTATCCTATTATAATAGCAATCTTTATTAAAGCCAATCGTGCCTTTTAATGCATTAATTATAATATAATTAAATTAAAACGGCAAATTTTATATTGCTTTATAATTTTATTAAAGATTTTAAAATAGGGTGCAAAATATTAAAATAAAGGTTTTAGGGGCTTTATAGTATTAACCTATAATATTAAATATATTTTTATATTTATTATAATAGCAATTATTACTAATGCTAATCGCTTTTTTTAATATATTAATTATAAATATAATTAAATTAAAACGGCAAATTTTATATTATTTTATAGTTTTATTAAAGATTTTAAAATAGGGTGCAAAATATTAAAATAGAGGTTTTAAGCGCTTTATAATTAATTTGTGGTATTAAATATATTTTTATATATATTGCGGAAAAGTTTATTTAATATATTAGCTATTTATAAAATAATATCATTCTTTAAGGCGATGCCTAGCTGCTATATTTTTTTATCTTAAAACAAGATTTCTAAAGCGCTAGGAACTCCTTTAAGCATTAATTTATTAATCGGTATAAAATAAATATAATACTACGAGAGTACCGCTATAATTGGCGTCGCCTTAACGGGATTATATACGGTGCCACCTTTAATAGGAAATGGAATTTTAAAAAATACCGCGTTTAATAGCATAATTAAGGTAAAAATCGGTAATAAAGCGCTAATATCCCAGGTACCGCTTCGTTATCCAGAAATGCAGCTCCGGTGCCACCATAAATGGGCCCAGGCATCACAGTCTTTCCCAGGGTCGCCCCATTACTGGCCGCCAGTAGTGCCATACTCCTAGGCATACCACCCACTATATTCGCCGGCTTGGCATACGATGCTTTCGAGCATCGCGCGTCGTTTTCAGCCCAATCCCTCTTTATGTCGTCTTCAGCCTAGTCCCCTTTATTTTTATTTTCTCTAAGCTTATTATTAGATAAAGACCTGGAGAATTCCGAAGCGAAACGGTATTGGTTTAAACGTTAGCGCTTCGAAGAACCGATACCCAGCTACGAGGTCAAGCTATTAAAATCGGCTTACTAGTAAAAGGCGATAAAGTGGCTTTCGGACGCTAAAAAACGCTATTTTAAATTATAAATTAGTGCTTTAATAGCCTTATAGGGTTTTTTATTTTTTATCGGTAGCTGCGGTATATGCTTTATTTATTTAACAGATTAAATAAGCTTAAAAGCTAACGAGGTCGCTAGGCATTTAAATTAAGGCAATATTTTAGTAAATTAATTATATGTTTTCGAATTTAATTTTATAGTTTTATTTCCTGTTTTAGGAAATGCCTTTTTTATTATTTTGCTAAAAAAACCCGAGCTAATAGCATTTATAATAAAAGTTAATTTTTACTAAATTAGTTAGTTTTATGCTTTCCCGCTTATATATAGTGTTATTTATTTTTGTTAAATATTTAAATATTTAAATTATACGACCGCGGCTGCGAAGGCAGCCGCGTAATATAGATAATGGCCGCGTAGCGGCGTAAAGCTCGATAATTTTTTAGAATGCGGCCTATTTTAGCGCATAAATAGCTTTTATTTTTGCTATAACCGATTTTATATTTTGCTTTTTTATATCGTTTACGAGCCGGTCGCCGTTAATAAATTATAAGCTAAATATTTTAACCGCGCGCGATTTTTGCGGGTTTATAGTCGCCCCGTCCCGGCCGTTTACGATAAATATAACCCCTTTTATTTAATATAATACGTAATGCTGACGATATACGAAAAGTGCCTGATTTAGGTGTGGCTATACCGGGCGTTCCGAGGCTTCGAGAGTTTATTATAGCTTTAGCGGCTACGGCGGTACCTATTTGCCTTTTTAAAATACGAACTCCCTATGCGTTTTATCGGCGTAAAGCAGGCGATTAACGTGCGCGTATATAACCGCGTTCCGGTCGTGCGAAAAAGATTGGGCTATAAGCCGGGCCTGGTGTGCAATTTATGCCTTTTTACCCGAATTATTGGATTTTTAAGCGTTATCGCCTTATGGGGTTATATTATCCATCGTCACAAGGACCGCAGCGATAAAAACAGGCTAGGTAAAGTGCGCCGAATTGCCGGGCTATAAAGGTAATACCTTAATACAGAGCTAGCGCTCGACAGCTATAGCGTGCGATCGTTGGATCCCACTCTAGAGAAACTGGTGCAGGTAGAGTTAAAGGGCTTCGTATAGGCGGATGTCGAATAATGGGATTTGCGATCGTAATTATGGCTTATTAATATAGCTCGTAATTAAATGCAAATTATTTATAAAAGGGCCGCAAAAAGAACGACGCTTAGACCCTCTAATACGAAAAAGTTAATTGAATGCTTAAGCACATATTAATCTACCGTTATTAGCTACTACTTATATGCTTAAGCATATTACACTACCCACTAATTGTACTTATTGATAGTGCTAGCTCTAGAAATCGACCCACTATATAATTGAGTTAGTATATGCCCCTCCACGATGCCCCTCCACGATAATCTCAAATACCTACCTACCTACCTACCATTTTCAACGGCATGCTCTTCAAATATGTATATATAAGTCGCACACATTATATCAAGGGCAAATAACTCGTAAAATACCACAAGACCTGCGTAGAACAGCATGAAAACTGTGTAAAACAGTGTCTTCGGAGTCGATTTTTACCCAAAATAGCAGTCATCCCCACCTATTTGTCAGATAGTAGCGTGTTTATACTCACCGACTCCACACCTGCGCCCAAGCTACATACACAGTAGGCATGAGGTGTTCAAAAAGAAGCCGCCCATGTACGAAGTAGCGGAGAGGCTGATGCAAAGAAGACCATGTCGTCATCTAGCGGTTTCTCCAGCACAACTCGCGATATCCATGACGGCTGGAAGATGAATGACATCTTTCAGTTCACTATGGAGATCGCCCTCTTTCAGGGATGCAGATTGCCCAACCGAGCACAACCTGGCGGCTAGCCGTCACCGTTTCCCACCTATTACACAGTATGCGTGCAGCATGACAGTACTGTCATCCTTCAACTGCCGGGAAGAAATATGTGCTAAAATGCAGTGAAGGAAACTCATCTCTTCAGCAGGAACTATTGCAACCATACGTCCATCTCCTACCTATATTGACCAAGCACGGTTACTCAATCATGCTGTTCTACGGGGACATTCCACGCTAATTAATTCACAGCAATTCTAGCAGCTTTAGTCGAGCCAAAAGTCTCCTGCATAGCCTATCATTATGGATCATACCCACGCTTTATTGCGAACCCTTCCGAGCCTGTCTGAGCGATAGACTCCACATCGGCACGTTCCGTTATTCCCGGCTTCTTCCCCATTGCGTGCCACTCGAATCTAAGTCAGCCAGACGCTACATGAGTCCGGTTAGAGCACAAATTGTCAAGCAAATCGGCTGGCAACTTGCCAGAGTGGTTAATGGGTGAGACTCGAATTAGCTATTACAGCAACTCGGCCATCTCATGGCTTCGGCCGCGTAGGTTCAAATCCTGCAGTTGTCGCTTAATACAGCCTCCAGGAACACCTGGGATATCTTTTTTTGGTGTTTTGATGGCATTTGCTGTCGTCGTGATGATACTCGTGATGTTTTTGCCAGTATTCGAACTGAGGTTCTCTGGTGTATACTAGCGCGCCATTGCGGAGTGCACGGGCCTCAGCCAGCTCTCAAATGTGGGGTTCCGCGCAGTGCGGAAGGTACGTACCCCTGCTTAAAAAAAAAAAGTCCAATTGGCGAACTTGCGATTGGAAGTTCATACGATGACGATCAATCTTGTTTGTAATATTCTATTCACTTTTGCCTTGTCCAAACTCATATGAAACTGCCAGTCTACGACTCCGTGTAACTACGATAATCTGCATCCCGTCCCTTCGAGCCTGATCTACACCCCCCAAGGTCAGCATCTCACATCATGTCGGCACCGAGCTCCCAACCGCCGTCACAACAGCAGCCGCCGGCGCAACCACAACAGGGGCAGCTCGCAACCGCTCCATCGCCCTCGTCACAGCAGTCGCCCTACAAGAACCCGCTTCTTCACACGGCCGCCTTGATATGCACGCCGGTAGCCTTTCTGGGCCTTGCCCTTCCGCCGAGGCGACTCGACTTCCGGGCCCTGCTCCTAGGTACCTCGGCCATCTGGGGCGTCTCCCAACTCAAGTACGATTACACAGGGCACTCGATGCTGCACAAATGGTTCGTAAGCGATCCTTCGCAGGCGGCCTCGACAGGTGGACTAGGCAGTAATCTCCCAAGCGAGCGGGCTGGCGAGGTGCAACGCATGATTCGTGAGGAAAAGGCCAGACGTGAGCGGGCTCGGGAGCTCTTGGCATCAGGCATGAGCGAGCAGGACGTGAAGCGCGTGCAGGAGTTGGAAAGGAGAAAAGCAGCCGCCAATGGTGGTCAACAGCCACAGCAACCAACTAGCGGGGAGGATGGCGAGAAAAGAGGCACTCTCGAATCCATATGGATGGGCGACGCGGACAAGGACTGGAAGGAGAAGAGGGCCAAGCGAGAGCAGGAGGCCCTGGCTGAGGGCGGTGACGGCATCTGGGGTCTAATCACGGAACAAATCTCAGACGTCTTTAACCGGGGTGAGAGAAAGGCCCAGGAGAAGGCGAAAAAGGTTGAGGGCGAGGAGAAGAAGTCTTGATGATCCTACCGGAGTGAAGATGTGGTCAGGATTTCACACCTTGTTTGTCAGGTACACTGAACAACCGATTCGGTTTGTTTGGTAGTCTCGGTGCTTTTTGGCATCATTGGCCACAGCCATACTGATTGACGATGGAACAAATAAGACGATGTACGATTGTGTTTAGAACATTATGACACGGCCTGGATACGACCGAAAAGGCCAAACAAGTTTCCTCCATGGAGACAAATACTACAAAACAAAGAGTCGGTTTAGGCTCCTGTATATATATGTACATATAGCGACTTTGATTACTTGCACAGGGAAGGAAGACATTCTGGACATAGCAAACATCCACCCAGATACAAATCAGTGGCTACGCATGCATTGTCCTGGAAGGCGGGTGGCAAAGAGCTCGAATTGGAAAACCAACCATCTCCCTAAAGGCAGTAAATAAATCTTGGTCTTCTGACAGAAACAGTTCAATTGCTAAGCAGCTGAATAATTTTTGGGCTTATTTCGTATATGATTATATTATAAGGAAAAATTGAGAAAGAAAGTTGAGCCCTATTTCTCCTTTTTTACTCTCTGTGTTTCTATTTCTTTCTCTTCTTTTTTTTTTAAAAAATTAGAGAGAAAAAAAATCACCTTGATCAACAAATGGTTGCCAAATCCAGTCCCTGATAATATTACTCTCACAGAAAAGGAAAAACCTACGAAGGACCAGCTCCCTCAAGCCATCACTCCGGGCTTAAATATATTCAAGCAACTCCGAGCCGAACCATCAGAACCTCTCGAAGACCTCCTGCCAACCATTAGACCATAATAAAAGTCTGATAATTCGAGTCAGTACCATATTACGACTATATTATAAATCAACCAAGGTTTCTTGCGCATCCATGCAAAAGACGGTTTCAAAAGTCAAACTATGGTTCCACTGCCTCAACCAACAGTATCTGTTGTTGCTCATAGGTCAACGGGCACGAGAGACTCTGCCTTGATAGTGAACATGGAGAACAATGCTGAATTTGCAGTGCAAGGTGGGAATAGAGAGATCGTCCAATTCATTCGAACCTACGATTCCACGAAGATTGCAGTATCGATAGTACCAAGGTACAAAGCTGCCTTGAATGTCTATCACAAGATGGAGGCACTGATCAAGGAGTATGTCCCGGAGCCCGGAAATCAGCTCAATGTTTCAGGAAATGGAGAGGGATTGCCATTCGATAATATCATGCAACGGTATAATCCGAATAGTAACAAACACCACTTTGAATAGTAAAAATTGCCACAATAATCTATGTACCTTCTTTATAACACCAAAAACACCTTGCAAAGACAACATGTAGTAGCTATGCTGCTACTGTTTTTGTCCTTGATTGCCTTTTTTTGTTTACATTGATCACGAGTTCGCGGGTTGCGGCTTGCCCGACTGCTCCTCCTTCTTCTTTTCCCGCCTTATTGCGGCCTTCTTTGCCTGCCTCTCTCCGATCTTCTCTCATCTCAGTTTCAGGTGTGGCTTCTCTGACATCTTGTCCCCCATTTGCTTTATCTTCTCTTGTTTGACAGCTTTCGCGTCCATCGCGGCTTTCTCCTTCTTCAGTTGCATAGTTCTTATGCGTTTGGCGTGCTCCTTGGCCATCAGCTTCTGCTTCTTCTGCAACTTCTTGATTGCACGCATCGCCGCTGCCGTGTCCCAATTTTCGGTCCACCGCTCCAGCTGAGACTCGAGCTGCTCCGATGTCTCACCGGGACCCAGGTTAAGCGCCTTTTGGAGCGCCTTGCGCTGCTGCTCAATGAGCCGGAGGCGTCGCCGCCCCTTGCGGTTTTGCTCGTTTGTGCCGTTTTGCTCCGTGTCGTCCTCTTTGGTAGGCTGATCAAAACCTATATTGCCCATTTCCACCATCTTCTTGGCAATTCTCTCTGCCATACGTCTTTCCTTTCGCCTCAGCCTCTTTGCTTGCATACGAGGGCTCGGCTCCTTTCTCTTCTTGGTCTTCATCTCTTCCTTCTCCCTTCTCGAATTCCTTCTTCTCTTCTTCGGCTTCGGCTCGGCTTTCTCCTCCCCGTCGGCTGTCGGCTCAGGAGCTTTTGCGGAGCTATCAGGACTCGAAGGCCTGGAAGCCGAGTCAGAACCGGCCGCAGTCGGCACCTCTTTGGATGTCGGCTCGGCTTTGGTAGGGGAGGGGGACTTGGGAACGTCCACATCCATCTTGTCAGCTCCCGAAGTAGAAGCGCCCTTTGGCTCCTTCGGCGATGCTGGGGACGATGGCGCCTTCGAGTTACGTTTTGAGGTACGTTTTGGGGTACGTTTTGGGGAATTAGGGGCACCATCGTTCTGCTGGAATCAAGGGGAAAATCCCGAGTTAGCCTCAATTCTCCGTCAAGGGGACGGTGGAATCTTTTTCTTCCTCGAGATTGCTCTCTGGGATTTCTCACCTCTTTCATGACCTGGTCGGCCTGTTCCTTGGAGACTGCTGGGGATTTCTGGGTTTCCTTCTTGGTCTCCTCCTGGTCGGCGGCGGCGGCGGCGGCCGCAGGAGAAGCGACATCGGATTTCCTCTTCCTTCTGACCTCCTTCTCGGGCTCGGGGCTTGACTTCTCCTGTTCCTCGGCCGCCTTCTTGCCTGCCGTGGCTCTGGGCTGTCTCGTCTTGACCTCCCGCTTGGGCTTGGTGACCCTGTCATTGGAGACCTTGGTTTCTTTGGCCAGCGCCTGATCCTCTTGCTGACCCTCGGCCCGGGCGGCAGCTCTAGTCTTGGCCATGTTGTTCGAGGGGAATCTGTCTTGCGCCGTCTGCTCTCCTTGGTGGGAATCTCGAGGCCCGCGTCCCGAGGCCAATCGGCTGAAGGTCCAAGGGCTAGGGAACGAAGCTGAAGGGCGATTGAAGATTCTCGACGTGCCTAAGAAGGGCTTCAGGGAGAGAAAGCGACTAGCAGTCGAGGCCAAGAGCACTATGCGTGTCCTTGCTGTACTCATGCTGGATTTCTCATAGCTCTGTCTCTCTTAGCACAACTGAAGTTGAGTGGGTTGAATTGAGAAAATTAAAGCGGGCCATCTTATCTTATCACAGCTTTAGCGGAACTTTTCCGTCGACAGGCATTATAATACATCCATGTCCATAGTACAAATCTTGGAGACAAAGATTAGAGTTATTCTTTGGAATCTGGACGAAGCTATGTTTAACTTCTTACTTTCTGCTTTATTCATTACTAAATTTCTCCCTTTTTAATCCTCTACTCCTTTATTTTCCTCTAGAAACTATCTGGCGAAAGAAGCCGCTGCTCTGATCAATGGCCTGTTCATCAAGCGTTCATTGTCCAAGCGCTTGACTGCTGGCAGCTGTCGTTTTGTCATGATCTCTGCTGGATTTTGTAATGCCTGAGTCGAAGAGAAGAGAGCGAGATGTGCGATAGACAATCGCTGTGACAAGTCAAACCAAGCAGTGTTGAAGTCAGAGAAGATAGTCGTGCCAACCTTTAATTAGCACTTCAAGTGACGGCAGTGGGAGGCAATGTGTTGCTATCCAACTTGGTGAGTGCTCGTTGTTGCTCTGCCTCCTATTGAAGATTGTAATAGCCATGATATTCTTGAAACTGGCCAATTCGCGTAGCGGCCCCCTGCGATCAGATTGGTGTTTAATCTAACGGACTTTATTTTTCTCTTAACTCCCTCTCTTTTATCTTTCTTTTATTTCTCTCTTTTGTATTTTTCTTTCTATCACTCTCTTTTTTGAACAAAAAATAATGCGCAAATCCGTGGTCAAAAAGTAATCACTTCTCGTGTTGTTCACTCAAAAGGCTTGACGTGTTCCCTTCGACAGAGCTTCGAGTCCAGCTCGACCAAGTGCATATTTACCTGTGTTTGTCGCAATCAACTTCACGCTGAAAAGCTTTTACGCCTTCCCTCCGGGGGGTGGGGGAGTCCTTGACCAAAGTCTCTTCACATTGATACCGGGCAAATAAAGAAAGATATACATAATTCAGCTATTGTGTGCAGTGCTTGATCTGTCTGTATGGTCATGGTCTCCCAAAATGCAATCTTTTCAAGCAAACATTGGCCACTTATCAGTCATATTGAATCCTTGTGCCACCTCAGTGCATGAAATCTTGAAGATATAACTGCTAACTCGGTCCTGGCACAAACAACATTTACCAGTCGCAGATATCCCATCTGGAGACAGTCCACATTACCTTGATACCAGCAGGTTCCAAGGCAAGACTCTATTCAAGAAGTGATTCTCGGTGCCTTCTCTGGCGACAATTCTACATCATCTCACTATCTGAACCATAGATATCCATCTGTAACAGAGAATCACTCGTGCTGAGTTTGAACAGGGAAAACATGGCATGTATTCACCAATCCTCATTCCAAACTAGCTTCGACCTTCTTTCCTTTGCTCATCCATCGATTTCAGATTTATTGCAAACCAAACAGGACCCTCTCATTGATCTATTCATCCACAATATCTACCCATTTACCTCCATCATGTCGAGCCCTCGCGATATTCCCCAACACAGCAATCGAGAGCAAATTACTCGCCACGAGGTGACTTGGAGCAGCGAGTACGATGCAGATCCCATGACAGCTTTTCTGACGCCGTACTCGTCGAGCAGTACCAGCTACAGGTCCGATTTCTCAATCGCCAGCAGGACCAACAGAGACATTATTGTCCTGCAGAATCAACACATCAGGTCCACGCAGCAAAGGATTCTCGCCATACTTGGTGATCTCGAAGTATTTCTGCGCCCAGACTCTGCAGACCCGCCACAGACTTTTCCTCAGTACGAAGCCGAGGACGACGCCGCCTGCCTGCTCGCTGAAACAGACGTGACGTCGGACGCGAGGATAGCTGCTGCCCAGAATCGTTATTTGATGACTACGCAGGGGAATGTCATGGCTCTTCTGACGAGCCTTGCGAGGTGTCAACTTGGCGTGAGCGATGACGACGCCTAGGCCTCGAGCGGCTCCAGCGAGACATGTGCCAACGACGGTGCTTCAGAGGACATTGATATTGATCAAGTCTTCCCCATTGCGCTGTAATCCTTCCTGTCTTACTGAGTGTTGGCGACTGTCGAAATCTGGCTCTACAACGGCATTGTTGTCGGGACGTGCAAGAGCGCGATGTTTAATGGATTTGCGAGAAGTATTCCTGGGGCTGGATCAAGAGCTGTAATTTTGAGACAGTATAGGCCAAGCAAGTTCGCCTCATAGATGAGTAGCATGTCGATGATGTTTTCCTGAGAAAGCATTTTAACTAGCTATCGCGGTAGAAACACAGACGATTGCGCAAAGGGAGTGTCATCAAGGCAATCTGTGAAAACAGACCGAGTCTATCCGAATGCTGTATTCGTGATACCTGTACCGAAATTCGACCCTAGTTTTTTTTTTTTTTGTTTTTTTTTTCCCTCTCTCTATTTGGGCTGCATGATGACTTGTGGCGATAGAAAACATCAATTATTACCATTGTTCTAGATTTTCCGCGGAATCACCTGTTGAACGCTGACAAAGCTTTCAATTGAACAGCAGACAAGTCCCAGATTGTTGTATCCAGGGAAAGTTTAAACTTACCACGATATATTGAAGGATATTCCATTCGTCCTCAAACATCCAGGAAAGGGGATTGTTCCGTTGAAACACAGAAACGACACAAACGAGTAACATCCTAGTTCACAGGATGATCTCAAGCTCCATGTATGTCTAGTGTTCAGTCTTACATGATGGTCTGTCTCGCAACTCTGCTGAATGTGGTACTACGCACCCTCCATGATGGGAACATTCCACCCACATAGGAAGCGTTTGTAGAGGCCAGTCCAGAAAGGCAATATCACCTCTTGAACAAGGATCAGTTCTTGAAACAACATACTCAGCTACCATTGGCAGGAGCTGATCTCTGGAATCTTGCTGAAAGCAGTGCTTACCAGCCGATGACGGGGTTGAGGAGCCCTTCGTTCATTCCACCTGCAACTACATGAGTAGATTGTTAGTCTCCTGGTCAGAGACCAATATCTAAAGCCAATCTTGGAACAATAGCCTCCAACGGGCATTTGCGGGAGTATTGCTCATGAATCCAAAAACGCTTGTCTCTACTTTCACATCATCTTTGTTAGATGGAAGGAATCCGGAGCGACTGATGGAGATTCTCTGAGGCTCTGCATCCCCAGCATCACTGAAAGTGGCCAGACTGTTAATCACAAGTCGGAAAAAGTGACAATGAGAACAGAAAACATTGGAAGCATTGTATCCGAACTCGAATGGATCAGCTTTGGCATTTGAGTGAGACTTGATGCCGACCAGAGTCGCACAGCCAGTACGAAGCCTGATGGATCGATACCAAGTAGAATAGAGGGGAATCTATATATGTATTGAAATTTTGGAAGGATGGTGTTTTCTTTGGTATTGTTCTGGGATAAAGACTTGCAACAGGACGGTAGTCATTCCAAACCTCAACAACCGAGGTACAGAAACACGATTGTCACATCACTCAAATTTATCAAGAGTAGGAGGCGAACAATCGTACACTACTCCGTCGAGAAGAACCGACTGGGGGAAGGCCGTTTCGACAATCCAAAGCTATCCCACTGGAGTAACCCCCAGATTATTGTAATAGCTGTTATTCCACATGAATCTTTAAGGGGGCTTTCACAGCTCAATACTATTATCTCCCCCCCTCCTTTGCTTATCACATTTTCCCCGATTGTTCTTGTTTGGATTGTTCTTCCTTGATCCACACCACGCCGACGTTAACAAGGCAAGCACAAAACTTGTCACCACACTAGATTCTTGTTATCCCATTGGACTGAAGCAAGGCTGTGCGTTTCAAAACCTCTCTCCTGCCCAAATCTCGGCGGACTTGAACCTCCACACAAACGACGCGACTCCAACGAACCTGCAAAAACAAAAAAGCAACACAACCGTTAACCCTTGAACAACCTCATCGCACGCCGCATCAACCAACAGCTCGGCGACAAGCCCATCAGGATTTCGTGCCAGCAGTACTTTTAGCGTCGGCGCCCATCCACGACGATGGATGAGGGAACTCGCGTGAGTATCACCCCAAGCTCGCCGCCTTCCCTTGCGTACCTGCCCCTGTCATTGCACGCATACTCACTACCTTGAACAGGACTCCGACTTTCAGGAGTCCCCTGATATTGAGGACACTTCCGACCATGAGGAGTCTGACTGTGTAGAGCAGCCTTCCGACTTTGAGTACACTTCCGACAATGAGGATTGGTCTGATTCCAAGAGAGTCAAGCTTTCGGATCCCGGACCTACAGTTCAACAAGAGCTGTCGCGCCCAATGCCAGATCTGCCGCGAGAGATTCGACGATTGATCTGGCGAGAACTCGCCACTATTGCACTCCCCGCGATACCAGTCAGACGCCACATTCGACTCGAGCCACAAGATGAATACAAAGTTATCAGCGACATCAATGACGGTGCAACAGTTCTTGTAGCGCTGGACATGCATGACGGCGACGGCTCGAACTTTGAAAGCAAATATGAAAACCCGCTCTTCAGACTCAGTGTCATGAAGGCATCACCTGACCTCTTTAGGGAGGTGTTGAACGACGTGGCCGACAGGGTAGTTTTCGCCTTTTACTCCTCTATCAACTCCCGATTTACAGAGACGCTGGCCAAACACTACGGCGAGATGCCTCAAGCCATGCCACGTATCCGAACGCTGTGGCCTAAACAGCCGTCTCGTGGCTGCGGCTGGGAAAGAGATTATTGCATCAAGCAAGATTACACCATTAATCTCTTGTTCGAGGCACTTGGGACAGAGGATCCTGACGAAGAGGCCCACGGTGACCAGATTCAAGTAGATGATTACCCGCGAGATGGAATTATCAGTAGCGCACTGGAGTCATGGCATTTCAACATAACTAAACCCCAATATCAGATTGCTATAGCCCTAGAGCCTGGAACGCTGAAACAGCCCCAGAAAGTCGCCATTGGGCCTGGTCTTGGGGATTGCTTCAAAGACCTCAAGAGAGACCTCAATATTCCTATGCTTTGGGTCTTCGATTGAGGTACGCAGCAAAATCGGACACAGCACCCTTCACTTAGCCATATTATCAATCGCCACTCCTACCCTCCGACAGTCTGTCTTTTGTGGTTGGGCATAGATTTCCTCACCGCGGCAGGGTGAATCATTAATAAGCATTGCACTCGATCAGCCTGCATTATTCTTACCCCCAGGAAAAGGAGAGAGAAAGGAGAGGCAGGAGGAAATGAGTTTTATTCAATCAAGGGGACTTCAAGGGCAGACGGTCAAATGATGGCCATTATTTTCACACAAAGTTGTCACAGGTGGAAATGAAGCAACTTGTCCATAGACGCTGTCTTTAGTCTGCATTTCTGTTTCTTACTACAATTGTCTTGTCTTGTGTGATTATGTGTGATTCTGGCCTCATGTGACTGAAATGTAATCTTTGTCAAATCACAAAGGGAATATTGCACTTGTCAAAGTGGTAAGAATTTCCCAAATGTCGACTCTAATTTAAAGCTCTGGATACCTAAGTAAACAGTTATTGGAGTTGGAAGGCACAGGCTTGAGCAAGGCGATAAAACTTTCACCAGCCTTGACAAACACAAACGACCAACGGCCAATTTTTGGTTGGACAAAACGTTCATGATTGGCATTGCCCAGATATGTACCTACTGGGTGCAGCAGCACCTTACCTGATGGCAGAAAGCATGTTGCAAGTCAGAAGTTATTTCAAAAAAAAAAATGGAATCATGGCATTTGTAATTATGTACGTTCATCTCGTCTATCCATGATTGTGCAGGTCTTTGGACTACTCTGGAACAGTGAATCTCCATCATGTCTTGACAAGCACACGACACAGGCGTTTCCAAAGGACACGGCACAAAAAAGAAATAAAGGAATTATTAGATGAATCAATGCACACAAACGCAAGAATGAAAGACTCTCCCATCTTGACCCAAATTAATGGATTAGAAATGCAGAATCAGGCTGCCTAATCAAGTTGTTAATAGAACAAACGCTCTATATAACAGTTATGGGTTCAACTCCCATGTGAATGAACCCTGACCTTTGTGCGATACCCTCACTGGAGGGCTGATGAACCATGTCGGTGCCAATATGACTGGAATGCCGTATTACAATATAGCGCCACCAGGAAGGTCGACGTATGCCGGTGGTTTGTGGGTTGTTGGCTCTGATTGACTTATTATTTTTTTCTTCTTGTTCCTGCCTTTTTTTGCTGGTCCATTTTCATAATGTGTCTGCTTTGTCCCTCCCTCCCTTTCTTTTGATATTTTAAAATAGAATCAATTCTTGGATATTCTGTTATATTTTATTGATAAAGCAAGAAAGCATTACACTTAGCGCTTTAATTTGATTCTATATATGGTTTCTTATACAATATCTAAGCGATATTTCGCCTATATACAGGGTGCTCTACAGGGGTATTGCTCAAGTGTGTTACTCCAGGTACATTTGAGGCCGTTGCATTTTTGGAATGTCGTCTTTAGTCTCTGGCTTGTTTTCCTTCTCGGCTTTTAGGGTGTTTCCGTAGACCTTCTCTGTCTTATGGCTTTCCGATAAGTTGACTGGGTCACCTCGTTGAATGTACTGTTGAAATGAATAAGACAACGCAGGTTTCATTTCTGGCTCGTCCTCATCTTTGAGGCTACCATAGATAACCTCCTGTACGTTTCCAATGACGAGAGCAGTGGCCGCGTCCAGCTCGAGCAGCCCGGAGCGGAATTGCCGCGCCGAGCCGCCTTTAGTCCATCTGCGAACCACGCAGCGCAAGGTGTAAAGGATGCCGTCGCTTTCAAGTCTGGGCATTGCTTCCCTGGTAAATGGGGTCCAAGTATGCTCGGACTCGAACTTCTTTTTCTGCCAGTTCTCCCACTCCCTCGTCCATCTGCGGGCACCGTGGACAAATAAACCACCTAGTTTGTCGGAGCCTTCGACTGCGAGCCCCAAGCCGTCTTTCAAGATGGCTTTTCGGGCAAAGTCCGAAGTTACTCTACTCAACAGTTCCGGATAATTATTATCATCCGGAACAAAATCTATTCTGGAGTGACCTTTTGAGTAGTGCTCCGCGAGAAGTGCACCTTCTTTATTATCTGCGAGAATATGGACATTGAAGCGGTGACTTGTTTTGATCGCATCGTACGTTTTGCTTGGCCGATTGACATTGAACATGATGCGTGGTACGGGTCTGACATTCAGCGAAGTGAATGATCCGACCGTCATGGCGCGCGGTACTGGCTTAGAACCGTCTCCGTCTTCTTCCATCTCGTAGGGGTTCTCGAAGGGGTTTTCGAGAAAGTCTTCCCTCGCACGGGAAGCGCGCCATGGATCATGCCCTTGTCCAGGTATTGCCAAGCTGGAAACAACCACCACGGGTTGAGTCACATGCCGCATCAACCTTCGAAACGTGGTTGGGTGGGCTCTTATATCAGCCTTCTCTTCGTCGGATGTTGGATTTAAATGACGAAAACGATCTTTTCGTAGTTGGCTCTTAGAGGCATTTTCTAATGGATTTAGAGGATGGTCCGTAGAAGCCTCGGAGCTTTCTATCGACTCAAGCGTTGCGCTTGTCGTAGCAGAGGCCTCTGCAGTGTCTGCCTGCTTGTGCCATTCATCCCGGATTCGTTCAGATGTCCCTGCAGTTGCCGATCGGTCAGTACTAGCCAGGACATGATAATCTAGTATGTATAGACATACATTCCAGTTGGTCGGTGCTATATGGTTTCCTTGGAGTAGATATCCTGCAGGTACTGCTGACACCAGCTATGTCAGGGCGGAGGACTGCATGTTGACTGAACGAGATGCGTGATGCTCTTGAAAGGAAATGAAGGCTCTTCATTGCATGGCCCAGCAGTATGTCATTCGAGAAAACATGGAAGAATAATACAATAGAGAACAAGAGACAATTGGCGGCAAGAATGTCGCCAGAAGCTTGGGCAAGCTTTATTATGAATGGACAACTATTTAATACAAAGTGAAAGCACCAATGTCATAGCAGCACTTAAGCTCCCATGATTTAATGGGCGCGACCCGCGCTGCCGATAACGATAAGAAATGCAAGGATACGTACCTACCGCACCTTGGGGTATGTGCTGTAGCTCATGTGAAGATCCACCCCGGCCTGCGACCCCCGGCCGCCGCCGTAACATTTTTTGAGGTTCAAGCTAACCGCATCGTCGACCCTGAAGGTTTAGAGGATCAGTTCTCGCAACAGCTGTCCGCCTTCCACCCTGAATCGTCTCTCTTCGATCGTGTGTCCACGTCCTCATAACTCATCAATTGAGCCAGTAGCTAGAGCGCAGGCCCTAGGGTGTCATTTCAGCACCCGTCGACACATCACACACCACACATACACACACACAATGGCGACTCTCCGCGTATCGAGGCGCCCGACATGCGCTCTCGCCATCAACTCCCTGACACCGCAGACCAGCACAACGACATCGTCCGTGACCTCGACGCCGCTGGCGCCGGGCTTCCTCTCGGCGCAGACGCAGCAGCAGACGCGCAACGCCAACCTGATCCGCCGGCACAAGCGGCCGTACATGTTCACGCAGCTGGTGCAGCTCTCAGACGGCTCCACGTACACGATGCGCACCACGTCGCCCTACGCCCTCTACAAGTCCGTCAAGGACACGCGCAACCACCTGCTCTGGAACCCCAGCGAGCGCACCCTCAAGAACGTCGAGGTCGACGAGGCTGGTAAGCTGGCCGCCTTCAGAGAACGCTTTGGCCGGACTTGGGATCTGCCGGGCTCGGGCGCCGAGGAGGAAGCAGGTGCAGATGATGCGGCCGAGGGCACCAAGAAGGTCGCCGCCAAGGCCGTTGAGGAGGATCCGTTTTCTCTGGATGAGTTGGTCTCTCGATATGCCGTGGAGATAAAAGATGAGAAGCCAAAGGCGGCCCCGAAGAAGAAGTGAGCGGATCGAGGCTGGACTGCAACAATTCATTGAGGTCTTTATTCCTGGGTATTTGAGCATGCCAATCACGAAGATGGATGGATGGCCAATTTTTCCGATTCACCTTTTGGCTATATTGACCAGCATCAAGAAGCCAGGTCGAAACTCGAGGCTTCACATACAACACCAACATTGTATCATATGTACAAATTTGTCAGCATATTATGACAAAAATAGAAAGTAAAGGCTATACATGCTTTTCTGGACGAAAAGTATAAAATTCAATTATCATCTACTTTTATCGTGACGCTACCGGGTATAGCCCATCCAGGACGCAAGTGATTACAGTCAATATGTTACTAAAGTGGACTTCTTGGTGGTTCGGCATCTATAAAAGTTGAGTCCGCCCGCTCCAATTAATCAGAATCATCATCTATCCGCGCTCTGGCTCTGTCCACGGCAGTGTCTCCAGCAGGTCTCTTGCCAGCGCCCGAGTCAATGACGGGCGGTCGGTAAAAAACGGTCTCGTCGTCCTCAGCGTCCAGTTGCATGAGGAATGTCTCCCATTTTTCAATAAGCTGGGCAATTATTAGCCGAGGCCTCACAAGCAAACGGTCATCAACCAACTTACCTCCTTTTGAGCCTCCACGGAGCTCTCTAGGAATGTCTCAACAGCACTCTTAAAGTCCTCCACCTTTTCGCGTTCGAACCTGTCAAGCTCGGCGCGCATCAATCGGCCCATGTCGTCAAACAAGAGTCGAGCTTGGTGTACCTTGCGCTCAGCATCGGCCACCTCGGCGCTCACCTGGTTAAGTCGATCTTGTTGTGACTTGCCCTGACGGAGGAGTTTATCTTGGCTGGCCTTGCGCTTTTGCATCTCGGATTCGGCACTGTGCCAACTGTGGAATGCCTTTTGTCTTTGATCAAATGCCTTCTTTACACTGCCAATCAGGCGAATGTACTCATCAATGACGATGCCAAATGTGAGCACGTCCTGCTGAGCTTGGCGATCGTACACATCCCTAATGGTGATTTGAAGTTCCGATAAGGCGTCCAAAGGCCCTGATAGAGTGTGGCTCAATTCGACAGTCGATAAAGCATGAAGTGATGCTGAAAAGTCTCCGGCAGCTTCAGCCATGGCCTTGCGCTGGTTTACCATTGTATCCATAGACTTCAACAGTGCCCGAAGTTGATTCTCAAGAGCATCAAGATACACCCTGCGGTCGTGGAACCACTATCTCATTTGTTAGTCACTGATTTCAGGATGGTCGCGTCTGTTACTTACGTCATCCTGCTCGACGAACTTGTTGCTGCTGCCAACACTCAGACCAAATGAGCTGAAGACACCCTTGCTCTCCCCTGGGATAGGCTCGCGGCGCTCCTTGTGCTTCACATCGACATTGAATGACTCGCTCTCGAGAAACAGCTTCAAGTCGGGGTCATGTTGCAGTGTCGGATGGGCAGCAATCTTGTTCAACATCTTCTCCAATGCTTGCCGACGAGACTCGACAAAGTTGGTCTCGAAACGGTTCAAGGCCTGCTTCTCTGGAGGCGGGGGAACAACCACACCTGGGTTATTGCCGTGCATGGTGTTGTAAAGCCATAGAAAGTCCCGGTATCTCCTCTTGACCTCAAACTCAGGTTGCTTGTATCCCTTTGACGTTGTTTTCGTTCGGACCGAGTAGACAATGTGCGAACTGGTCAGATCGCCAACCTTGTATGGATCGCCGACAGTAATGTTGAAGCTTGGCTTGGCTGCCTGCTCAACGGCCACGCTGGGTTGAGTGGCACTTCTGACCTGGCTAGGCTGCGCCGATTGCACGGGAGGAGGTACCTTTGGACCCAGGGGTCGGTCATCATCGTCGTCGTCGATATAGTGAGGATCTCTCGGCCCAGACTGAGGTCGCGCAGACGGGGGCATCGTTGTGCGGATCGGCAGCTGCTCCTTCTGCGGCGGCGCCGGCGGCTCATCAGCCTGTGAGTCGAGGCCTGGAGCAGCATTGTTATCGCCGAGAGGGCCCAAGGGACCGAGGGGATCGTCGGCTTGGATTGTCGTCGGTTGCGCCTGGAGTCGGCGGATGGGCTTTCGCGGCCCCCGAGCTGCCGGTGCCTTGACGGACGGCTGGGATGACGGCTGCGAGGACTCGGCCTCTTGCGACGACTGGGTTATGGATGGGGGCTTGGACGACTGCGATGGCACGTCGCCCCAGGGCGAATCTCCTTCTCCGAATTCCATCTTGAGCGGTGGTGATTAACAAAATGGGGTTATCAGTGGAAGTTGTCGTCACAGGTTTGAGCTATGGGAATCAATCGCTGGTTGAAAGAGGGAGGGAAGCTCGGGCCAATTACGGGGTGGCAGTGACGAAAGCTGCCCGCGCCCAAAAGCCCACACGATTGATGGCTGCTTGCTTGATTCCAAGGTTGCTTAGCCGTCTCCGTGGTAGCCTGTTTGTAATGGGTTAACTCGTGGCTGAGCAGCTGTATTGAGACCCAAGACAATAAAAGACTCCTGATTTGAAATTAACCACGCAGTTGATACCTTATGCTCACATTCTGCAATTTCTATATCATTGCTATTCTGCGAGGCTCCTTGTATAATCTCAACCTCAAGTTCCCTGCCAGTGGCTACAACCGAAAAATAACTCGCCCGAAAATTTCTTGGTGCCATCCTTGCACATGCAATTGAATCCATATTCTAGATTTTAAATCGTTGCCCGGGGTATCGTGAAGCCGTAGATTTTAAAACACCGAAACGCCTGAAAATGATATTGCGCGTCTGCCCCCTTTACTGGGTCATCTTGGTGTCGTCACCTTGCTTGATCATGTCCTTCAAAAAGGCCTCTGCCTGATCCCAAAGCTCTGACTCCATGTCTCTCTCAACCTTGTTGCTTCTGCTGTTCAGCCAGCCAACGTCCATGCCACCAATCTTGCCATTGCCGTCCGGCTCTAGTGTCTTGCCATTCTCGTCGCTTGCTGCATCGCCTTGGGGAGCATCGCTCGACTTGATGATGCCGGCTTCTTCCAAGCCCCAGATCTGTCGCTTCATCCGGACGTTGACGGAGCGCAAGGTTCTCATGAAGTCGTTCATTTGGTGTTTGAAGGCCCTGTCCTTGCCGCTCTCGTCATCTTCGTCGTCAGAGTCGGTGCCACCATTACCGAGATCCATGACGCCGTCTCCCTCGTTGGGGTCCTTCTTGTTGAGGCTCTGGATAGCGGCACCAGCGGTTCGCAAGAGACTGACGATACTCTAGAGTCTGATGTTAGTCAACAGTTGTTTCGAGGCGAAAAGCCTTGCCACAAACCTCGTCGATCTCTCCGAGCTGTTGTATGCGCTCAGCGGTGGTAAACGGCGCGAATGAAGTTGCGTCCATGCTGCTCTGAGATGCCATGGTAGCTGCGATTGGACTAAAGGATCAACTGAGGTCACAGAAGCAATCTGCACGTATTGAAGAGGTGGAAGCGAAGGCACAAGACGCCATCAGATGGCCACAATCTGACTTTGTGACGAGAGTTTAGCGCTCCGAGAACCTTTATGGCCGTTGCATTCGTTGGGGCTCGGGTGGTGTTCCTAATGTGCAAAGAAGCATTCAATGTTTGGCGGGCTCAGCGCTGGGCGTGTTCAGATCTAAACCCCACTTCAAGAACTCTCTCCAGATTCTTGGTGGGGCCTTGGCCGAGCTGTGATCGTCTAAACCACTTCTGGACTAGCAGGCAGCCCAATTCGCGAGTGACGGTTCACTCCTTCCATGTCTGTCGGCATCCACATTTGAGCCGCATTCAACACCACCAAGCAAAGACCGCGACATCTGGTAATGCATCATCAATAATCGGCGCTTCCTTGCTGGACATCATCTACGCAGAGCCACCATTAATTCAAGTAAAGAGGATTGGATCCGCAGGCCTTTTACGCCAATTATCAAGGGCCTCGTTGCCCAGATTGTCTCGGCGCATGCAGCTCAACGCGACACGCAGCAAGTGAGGCAGCCCGGCAGGAGAGAACAGCACCATCACAGCGCATCACAGCGCAAGACACGTCTGATTCCCATTCAGCAAACACCACACACGCGTAAAAAAAAAAAGACACGCTTCCGATCACCATGTCTAATGCAGGCGCACCTTCCACGGGCGCTGGCCAGACTGGCAGCACATTCACCCCAGTTCCGCCGCCACCTACTCCTGGCACAACCGCACCAGCGCCATCCACAACCACCACTACCACGGCGCCCCCCAGTAATCAAAACCTGAATCAAATAGTAAGTAGACATTGAGTGTGGTACAGCTTCTCTTCTATTTTCTTTTTATCTCGCCGAAGTTAGCTGCAAGATGCGGATACCTACCCTAGCGTGCTGCCATCTCGCATTCCAAAAACATCACGAGAAGTGCACGTGATGATGAGACCAATGCACCAAGTCAATGCAGTCTTGCGTTTGATTCTACTTTCCCAATCAATCATCCAGATATTCAAAGGAGGAGCAGTTTCTGTGGGAAGTTATGGTGGTGACGACCCCCAAATACCCAGTCGTTTGTTTTCCACAAAACTACCACTGCCGACATTGACACTATCATCAAAACAACTCCAGCCCATCACACGCTGTCACCGCATCCATCATCTCTGCCATTTTGAGGTGTTGGATGATTTTGGCCACGGGGATTGACCGTATGAAGAAGCCATACTTCAAGTCAGTTGGTCGTCGTCTGTATCTGCCTCAGAGGCTCCAAAGCCAATCCGATTTCCTCTTTCGCGTCTTCCCATTCTCTTCAACCTCCAACTCTCAAATCCTACATTCGTGCTTTTGACTGTAGTGCCAGCCTTGAGTCTGCTTGGAACAAATCAATCAGCAACCTGCAATTTCCAGTATCATTTCCCCATCATGTCTTCTGCCTCCAATCTGCACCCTGGGGTACCCAGGCCATCTTTCCAGAGACAAAGGCCCGTTGATGTACAGTATTTCCTTGATATGGCGATTTCTGTTGGAAGGGGAGATAAGAAGATGGTCGAAATCAAGCCAGGACTCACTGCGTTCCATAATACTAACGACAACCAGGTCACGGACTATCTGATCAAGCGAGGATACACACGCACTGAGGAAGCATTTCGGAAAGAGATAGCTGGTGGCCCTGCCAAATCAGAAGAGGACGAAAACAAAAGATTAAAGCCTGACAAATATGTGGCTGCCTTTGAGCATCTCGTCAAGTGGGTGGACAACTCTCTCGATCTCTACAAGGTAAGCACAAGCAAATCTTCATATGCTCTCTTGTCTCACACGCCTTTCAGTTCGAGCTGGGAAAGGTTCTTTGGCCCGTGTTTGTCTATTCTTATCTTGACCTGGTCAAGTTTGAATACAAGCTCCGCGCCGAATCATTCATGCTACAGTACAAGGAGCGCTTCGAGAATGTTCGGGCAGACGAGGTCAACAGCTTAAAGCTGGTCAAGACCCCCAAGCAGCTTGAGGAAAACCCAGTCGCCCGTCTCTACCTCAGGAACAAGTACAAGATACCATTGAACAAGTTCTCTACCGGAAACCTTTTCAATTTCTTGGAGCGAGACTCTGAAGAGTGTGGCAACATTGTCACATATATCCTCGGCACATTCTGCGACGTTGAATCCATCGAACGGGGCCCCATCGAGCCCTTCAGCTTTGAGGCTATCTATCGCCGAGCTAGAAATCTAGAACTTGACGACGTCGACGCTCAGGAGGGTATTCCTGGCATTCCGGCAGCTGGCGCCGTCACACTCAACAAGGAGATTCTCGAAAACGGCAACAACGCCGCCCTGAAGCTGGGACTTCTCCCAATGGAGCCTGAGCTACGAGGCGACGTTCTTGCCGAGTTGGAGGACGAGGACAAGCAGAACCCACCGCCAGATGGTACACGCTCTCTAGTCGACGAGTTCAACCTCATGCACCCTATCAAGAAGGAAGCCGGAGACTCTCCACAGCGGACAGACATACCCTACCCGCCCTCTAGAGCCAGGGACATTGTCATGGAGATCCAGAAGGTACGAGAGAACAGGGACCGCTTCAAGATTGAGGGCCGCAGTGGTGGAGTTGGTCCTGCAGTAACGGTCTGCATGTACACTTTCCACAATAGCCTGGGAGGGTAAGTACCTCATGCTCCTACAAAGTAGGTTTGTTGCTAACATGGATACCTAGTTACTCTTGCATGGATTTCTCCAAGGACCAGAAGCTTGTGGCTGTTGGCACAACCGAGTCATATATTCGAGTATGGACACTTGACGGGTCACCACTCAAGTCTCAGCTACCGAATGAGCAGAACCTGAAAGTTAATAACCGCAAACTCATTGGCCACTCTGGTCCTATCTACTCTGTTGCCTTCTCAGACGCGACCAAGAACCTCGACAAGAACATTTTTGAGGACGGACCGAAAGTCGATACAGATGCAAAGCTGCTCATTTCCTGTTCGTACGACGGGCAGATCCGGCTATGGTCCCTAGAGACATGGACTTGTCTCTGCGTCTACAAGGGTCACTACGGACCGATCATGAAGTTGGCATGGGGTCCTCATGGACATTACTTTGCTACGGGTGGCTGGGACAAGACTGTGCGCGTTTGGTCCCAAGATCGAGTGTCATATGTTCGACTCATGGTTGGACACGATACTCCCATCTCTGCTCTCTGTTGGCATCCAAATGGTGCCTATTTATTCTCTGCTTCTGATGAGGCTGATAAGACTATTCGAATGTGGTCTGTCTCATCGGGTAACTGTGTTCGCATCTTCACTGGACATACCGACTACATCTCGACAATGGAAGCTTCACCCAATGGCAAGATACTGGCCTCTGCCGATACCGGTGGCAATATCATGCTTTGGGACATTGCCAAGGGCGAAAGAATCAAGCGCATGCGTGGTCACGGACGCAACGGCATTTGGTCCATCAGCTTCAATGTTGAAAGCAACACCCTTGTGAGCGGAGGTGCTGACATGACTGTCCGTGTCTGGGATATTGAAATGCCAGCAGAGGGCACGCGCACAGCAGTCCAAGCTGAGGGAGGTGACGGCGCCGTTGTTGCCAGTGGAAGCGGAGCAGGCACAGATGGAAAGGCTGCAGCCACCACCACACAGGGAGCAACTAGCGGCACTGGCACCACTGGCACTGGCAAAAAGAAGGGTAAGGAAGTTATGATCACGCCGGATCAGATCAGTTGCTTCCCTACAAAACGTACCACCGTCCACAAGGTCATGTTTACGAGGATGAATCTTGTCATGGCTGGTGGCTGCTACGAACCAGAGCAGCGATGAGGTGCAAATATGGCTAACAAAACCATTCGATATACAACAAACAAATGACTTGATCGACAGCTCTCCGTATTTCAGTTCAAGCCCTGGCACTGAAAATTAGAATTGGGGAAAAGGGTACAAACAGTTTACTGAAACCTGACACCGCTTATATCATGATTTCAGAAGAACAGAATCATGGCGGCGCACCACCCGCATTGTGCCGATACCCAGAAGATCATACATCATGCATTGCTCTGCACCCACTGATGCGTTACGATTAATAGAAAAACTCAAACAAAAGCCAACCAGTGATGTGTTCAAATTGACTATTCGCGAGCATCTCGATAGGCGGAGGAAGCCAATACATAGCAGAGCCAAGCTCTCAAATGATGTAGTTAAGACGAGAACAAAGAGAGCTCTCCACACCCCAGTTTCTTATCACGATACATGTGCTTGATATGACCGGGCCAATGCCAACTTGAGAGTCACAACCCACTAGATGATATAAAGCCATAATGATCTGCCTATGCTCAATCAGCCATTGGTGTCGCATTGAGAATATTGTCAAAGAGTGCCGAGTCTACCCCTTGTAAGGTCCAGTCCTCTGTTGCTACTGCAGTGTCCATGGTTGGTGACTGAGCCCAATACGTGCTTGGCTGCGGTCCATGTTCATCCGAATACTGGAAAGCATTTTCCAGGCCAGTCTCGGACGCATGTAGATTCGACGGGCCCGGCATGGTTGTATCTAGAGAATTCAATAACGACAGCGAGGTATACGGGTGGCCACAGCAGCGTTCAATATCGACGGCACCAGTATTGGGAATGTAAATGTGCAATGAAGCATCGTCATCCGTCACATTACCAGCGCATTCGGGGCTCTCTTCCTTGACTCCAAGCGAGGAGCGCGTCTGATAACGGCGGCCGCAGGCAGCATCGGCTTCAATGACCAGAAGCGGTCGAAGGACGACGGCTATCTTTGATGCGATCCTGTCGCCATTACTTTCAACCAGGCGGTCCATACTCTCGAGTACCTGCTCCATCATTCCGCGGTCGCCAAGGCGTTGATGCTTGAGGTAGGCAAAGACGGTAACGCCATTACGATTATGAGGCAAGTTGTGCTCATTCTGCGTCGCTGGAGGACAGTGGGCAACAATGTGTGCCAGGGTCAGCACCGTACACGCGATAAAGGCGATGAAATCAATGCCCCGACAGTAGAATGATGTTGGGTCGGAGCCGCGAATGGTCAAGTAGCGCACGAGCACCTCTCGAGCAGCCGTGGCGGCGGTGATCTTGTTCTGTTCACACCTTTGGTCCGGGGAGGAGCAGAGCACATAAGGCAGATGCAGGTGTAACAAGAGAGTATAATGCGTAAACTGGGTGGTGATGCGGATGGTTTCTCGAAACACTTTGACCTCGTCCTTAGGTGAAGACGCAAAGTTTGGTAATAGCCACCACTGGGCTGGCATGCAGTCTGAAGCTTGGCGCAACAGCTCATCAATCTCTTGCGTTGCATCAAGGTCACCCAAATCAGTGGCGTTGCGCCGCAGAATACGAGTCGATGCCACTGCCTCAAGACGTTCCATGCGCTCCATTGAAGTGCAACATTCCAACGTGGCCGGGTTACCGAGGCCGCCGCCCTCGACCATCGCGGCTGGAGGCAAGCCAAGCATCAAGGACAGATAATGATCCGACTGCACCAGACGCAGCCACATTTGTTCCGGGTTGACTCGGCGTCCAGTATCAATACAGTTTCCTCGTCCCCGATCGAGACCCATCATCTGCGCCAGCGCCGTGGCCCGACGTAGCAACATCCAGGCACGGCGCAAATTGCCTGCATTATTCTCGTACAGGCTATAGATCATGATGCACTCGATGCCTTCGACCATGTCCACCAGGTCATCGTCGCTGACTACGAGTCGGACTGCCGTCTCGACTGCCCTAGTCATGATGTTGACACGGCTTGTGCTGAGACTAGCGAGGCTAGGTAGAGAAGACGATGGAATACATTGCAAAAACGAGCCAAGACATAAAAGCTTGTGTGCAACTACAATAGGGTGAGATCCTGGCGGAGGCAACTGTAGTACATCTCGTGGTGATGGAGGGTCTTGTGCACCAAAACTTGAAAAGGGTTTATCCACGACTCCGTGAATAAGGCCCGATATACCATGGGGAACGCCAACGATAATCTCGATATCATGGTGACTAGGCCATGCTTCTCGAAGAGCATCAAAGATCTGACTGTGTTTGTTTATATCGTGCTCACTTTGGTCTACGGAAAGCACTGCGTCAGAGGCAGTTGTCGACGGCAGCGGCCAACGGGAGATGGATGTCGACTCTCGTTCATCCTAGATTTATATTGTCATACTGGCTGAACATGGGCTGATTGCCAGTTCAAAGTAATACTCACTGTTGCTTCATAAAGAGACTGACTGGCTCGACTAGGATTGAGGGTCTGAACAGATGCTCCCATCACCACATCACGTGTAACAGAAGACGACCGAGGCGAACATGCCAAGACCCTCTGAGCGGCGTCTGATGCGACCTCCCTCGAGGCATTCGACGCAACCTTGGGTGAATCGTCGGTTCTCGGCTGCTCACCGTCCAGACGCGCGGTGAGTCTTTCAATGAGGGATTCCATCCTGCTCATCCTCAGGCCCATGTCTCGTAGGCTTTCGGTATGTGGCGGCGACGGGTCGGGCTGGTCCGGAAACTCTTGGCCAAGACATGTCGTCCCCCGGCGTTGGCACCCGTTGCAGACGGTGGCGGCAGGCGAGGCAAAGGCACAGCGAACCTTGCGCCGCTTGCATTCCCAACAGCTGAGGGTACCTTTGCGAAGCTTCCTTCTCGATTGTGGTCTGGCCGGTGCTGCTGCTGCCGCCGCCAAGGGAGACGACGCGTCAGGCTGTGGATTTGCCTCCTCTGCCATGTTTTCTGGTGTATTCCTTTTTTGTTTTTCCAAGACCTTGCCCACTTTACGGGTCCGTTGACCAAGTATAGTGAAATGGTTACAGTTTCCATGGGAGGCTCGAACTAAGCGATGGATTGGCAATGGCCAAATGCAACGGTGCAAGAGACTTGCAAACTTGGCAATGCGATTGGCGAGGGAAATGGTGAATGATGAATGGCTCAACGTGGATTGGTCCAATTACAACACCTCCGATACTCCGAACTCTCCTTCCTTGACCTTGTTGCTACTACCATGTATTCCTTTTTAGCTTCCGCCGAGCGGCGGAGGAAACCGTCGAAGTTGTTTCGCTAAGACTTGGCCAACTACACGCGTCCCTATTGTAATCAGTATCCATACTTGGAGTTTTCCGAAAGTTTTTTGTTCCCTTTGATTGCATCACTTGTCTTGCAACTCACTCTATTACCGGCATGGGGCTCCATCTGCAATTAGCAGCCGCAAAATCTGGGGAAATGCCGCGGCCAGTCTCCGGCCATGCGTACCTAGTAGTATACCCTGTATACCTGCACCCCTGAGGAGATCTACCATGACATTGCCGGGAAATAAAGTGCCTGGCTAAGCATAAATACCCAGGTATTACTTTATTTTCACGTGATGTATGTGTGTGTGTGGAAACAGAGACGCCAAGCCATTGGATCGCTGTGCTCAGTTCTGAATTGGGGTCTTGGAGCTTCATGGTTGCTTTTGCCATTTTAGCCGGGTTCGGCCATTATAACGACCCAAACAGGCAGGACATTTGGGTTTCGAAACCCGTCGAGTCGTCGACCACTGTAAAAACCCAGCCCAAACCCTCCAACCAGTGTCACTTTGGAAGGTCTCATTGGAAACATCGCTGCCGCCAAGAGAAAGGATTGCGTATGCTTCTATAACTATACCGTCGCATTTTTGCTGTCCGTCGTCTCCATCATTCACTCAGCCGCCCGCTCCTATAGGGAGCAGTGGATTGCCAATTGGAATTCCACTTATCCGGGGAACGCAGGCCGCTTGGGATGACCGAATGACTAAGCATACCTACATACTCAGTATCCCGCTGCTTGCTGGCTGGCTGTGCTCCAATCGCATGATTCCGTGCGTTGGCGAGATGAGAAGGACGACGTGGATTTGACTCTCCTTTCGGATTGCCGAACCGACAGTTTGCGGACAGCCCCGGCCTCGACTCCTCCAACGCCCTCTCCAGGCCATTGCCGCCCCGGGAGGGGACTCGTCAGCAGTATAGCACGCCTACTCTAAAGGGCACATTGGTAAATGCTTCTTCAGCATCCAACATGGTGCCTTGACCCACACAAAGAGGTCGAGAGCCACATGGGCCTTGCAGTCAGCCATGTATGTGCCTGGGGGTATACTGGACGATGCAAGGTCCGGCTTGTGCCGAATATGGTGCAGTCTTCACTATATAGAGCGGCGAACCAGCAAGAGCACATTTACGATCTTGTCTTGTTCCAGTAGCATCACGTTCTCTGTCTCTTTCTCTATCTCTTTGGATCCATTCACTCTTTTCCAAGATGCGTTTCTCTGCTGCTCTTGTCGCCTCTGTCGCGGCCACTCTGGTGGCTGCCCACCCTGGAGCTGATATCCAGCAGGAGCTCCACGAGCGCCGCGAGTTCATCTCCAACTCCAAGCGCACCAACCTGGACCACTGCTCTGCCAAGCACAAGGCTCGCGGCCTCGAGCAGCGTGGCATTGAGCGCCGCAAGAACTTGGCCGCCATGAACGCCAAGCGTGGCATCCTCGCACGTGACCCCAGTGACATCAACAAGACTCACTTGTCTGATGCCGACTTTGACGAGACTACTCCTCTCGAGACCGTCTTTGCCCAGGATGCTTCGTGTGTGCTCTCTCCCGAGGAGACCGAGGGTCCTTACTGTAAGTTCTTCATGATTCTATTGTAGACAAGTGAGCTTTGTTGCTAATTGCCCTATAGACGTCTCTGGTGAATACGTCCGCACCGACGTTCGCGAGACCCAGGAGGGTATTCCTCTGTACCTTGATGTCGCCATTTACGACGTCGAGACCTGCGAGCCCATCCCTGAGCGCTGGTTCGAGCTCTGGCGTAAGTAGTCTCTATACTGTCGAAATTGAATCTACCTTGCTGACAAGAGTATGATAGACTGCAACTCGACTGGTGTCTACGCCGGTGTCGGCTCTGGTGGCAACTTCACCGAGGCCCCCGAGAACCTGAACAACACCTTCCTCCGCGGCTTCCAGCTCACGGACGAGGACGGTGCCGTCCAGTTCCTGACCACCTACCCCGGTCACTACTCCGGCCGTGCCATCCACATCCACGTGGCCGTCCACCCCAACGCCACTGCCCGCGAGAACGGCACCATCTACGACCTGACTGCCAACCACGTCGGCCAGCTGTACTTTGACCAGGACCTCACCGACGCTGTCGAGGCCTACTCTCCTTACAACACCAACACCCAGCCCGTCACCACCAACGCCGAGGACTTCCTCCTGCTCGACGGCCTTGCCACCAGCGACCCTATTGTCCAGGTAAGCTTACTCCCTCCACTCTTGCTCTCGTCACTTTGATTCAGCCCAAAAGTTCTTTGCTAACAAAACCCTCCCCTGATAGTACGTTCTCCTCGGTGATGACATCTCCGACGGTCTCTTGGCCTGGATCAGCTTTGGTGTCAACACCACCTACACCCGCACCATCTCGGACGCCGCCACCTACTACGAGGGCGGCGGTGTCTCCAACGGCGGAGGTGCTGGAGGTCCCGGCGGTCCCGGTGGCCCGCCCCCATCTGGCTTCCCTTCCGGCCCCGGCGGACCGATCCCGACTGCTCCCCCGCGTCTGTAAGCGGCAGGAACCCTCGGAAAGACTTGCTGAGGTCTGAATCTGTCGTTACTTTTGGTATCACATCTGGTAAGCCACGGGCTCCAGTAAATTGTATATTGCAGCAGCAGTGGGCATAAAAATTGAAGATTGTACAAGTGTTTCGATTTATATTAAAACGAAATCAAGAATGAAACAAGCAAAATAAACTGGTGAACTTGACATTAATTCTTTCATGTGTACCCTGTACTCAAACCCGCGGGTGAGCTCTAGTGGGCCTGCCGCCAGTACTTCGCTGATCAACAATCTTGAGTTTTGAATCATTAATGGGCACCATTAATATGATGTACAAGTTATATAATTTGCCGACGGATTTCTGATACTAACTGTTCTAAGATATGATTGGTGGATCATATACCTTAGGCACAGGGAAGCGTTCGTACGATTCGAAGAATCGGCCGTAAAGGGGAAGTTATAGGGCTGTATAACTGATTTATAGAAGCTTAAGGAAAGAATAACTAATTACGGAGGAATAACTACCTTTTATACCCATAAAATCAACTAATAAGAACATTATTTTGGAATATATTACTATTTAACTAGATTTATAATCAAGTTAATTAGTAATAAGGTTGATTTACAATCGAAGAAACCATAAAAATCCCATGGATTTCTATTTTATGCACTATACGATGCTGTATTAACATCCGTGCAACACTAACCAATCACGGAAGTGATATAATTCTGCCATGGGTGACTGAAAAATTGTGTTGTTGCTTGTTCCGCCGAGGTTCGGTTCAACCGCCGAGACTCGGCCCAGCGTGGAACAATTATAAGATCATGGCTCAAGTCGTGATTATACACTCTGAACATGATTAATATTTCTCTCGTACAGATTTCTGGGAGTTTATTTTCGTATTGCACAGTTGCTTGCCTTGTGCAGATCTTTACATCTGGACAACATGGTTCGAATCGCAATCGCCGGTGGCTCTGGCCGTAAGTTACTCTATTCCTGCCCGCAAACGATTGGGTCAGAATGCTAACTTTCACAAACAGAAGTTGCACAAGAAATCATTGACGAACTAGTCCTCACAAAGAAACACGACATCATCATCTTGAGCAGAAATGTAGGACGATTTCCCAAAAGAACACGCATCACAAACTTTGCCCCCTCAGCTAACACTGGCCCCCAAGGAACTCGTCGCAGAAGAAAGCAGACATGGTGTTACGTGGCACACAGTCGACTTTGACGACAAGAATGAGCTGGCAAATGCACTGCGTGGTGTCCACAATGTCTTGTCATTTATCCAGCTTCTGAACGATACGGACAACAAATCTCAGAAGAATCTGATTGACGCTGCCGTCATTGCTGGTGTCAAGCGCCTGGCTCCAAGCGAATGGGGAAGGTATGGGAATGACGCCTTGTCATATAGGTACTCTTTCCCCACTAACGCCCATGTATAGTTCTGGTATCGACAACATGCCCTGGTGGACGGGGAAAAAGGCAATCAGGGAGTATCTAGAGAAGCTGAACGAGAATGAACCGGTCAGTTTGCTCCATTACTTGACACCGCTCTATACTAATCGTGTTGTCTTGCCCCATTAGGTCCTCGAGTATTCTCTATTCCAACCCGGCCTGTTTCTGGATTACCTCGCATACCCTCACCAAACCTCGAGACACGTTACACCACTCAGTACCATGTTTGACTTTGAGAACCGACGTGCCATTTCGATTGAGGGCTGCGATCCCGTCATCACCTTGACCACGGTCAGAGATTTGGCGAAGTTTGTTGCGCAGGCTGTCGAGTACGAGGGTACCTGGCCCGTCAATGGGGGTATTCAAGGAAACAAGGTTTCATTTTCAAAGATTCTCGAGATTGGCAAAGGAGTTTGTGGTGAGTTTTCAATATTCTCTGCGTTTCCAAGTGACCAAAAATACTTATTCTTTTCAACGCCAGGCACTCCCTTTAGTGTCGATCAAGTAAAGCTCGAGGATCTCGAGGCAGGGATCCTCACGACCTCTTGGGGTCTACGAGCACGTCACCCGTCCCTCGCCGAGGACAAGGCTGCGGATATGCTCAAGTCAGTACTGATAGGAATGCTCCTGAGTAGCGCAAAGGGGGCTTGGACGGTATCGGACGACTTTAATCGCTGCCTACCTGATTTCAAGTTTACCAACATTGGGGATTTCCTAGCTAATGTTTGGGGGTCTTGATTTCGTCGCATACCGACGCTTGCTTCGGAGGAAATTTGCCTTGCCAGTACTTGTCACTTGATTCATTTTCTATCATGGAACTTTCATCCTCTGGGAGGTTCTGAGCTTTGAATTTGACCAGCTGTTTATATAGCCTTTCTCGTCGACCATTTCAAATACATGTGAAAAAGACTTTAGTGAAATGCATGCCAGAAAAAACAAGTCCATGCATAAAAAGAAAAATGAGTAACAAGGGGAGGAATCTGTTCATATAGCCCTTGGCTTCTTGTTTAAGCTTCCATAAATCACCATCCCTGCTCTCGCTCCTGCTGCATCTGCGTACGTCGGACCGAAGGGCGACGAACCCGGACAAACCGCCCCTTGCGAGCCGCGACATTGAGGTCCACCTCGGAAGGACCGTGGTGACCTTCGTGGATATCGACATAGGCGTCACGCTTCTTCTTGTTGTTGCGCTGGTAGAGACTAATGGCGCCGCGACCACCGCACATTTGGCCACTGTTGCCGCCGCAGACCATGTCGCACTGCATGGCGCAGGCTGGATCGCTGGCATCCTCGAGGTTCTAAAATATTGGGGGTTGGGTCAGAGAGTAATTTCCATGGGTCAAAGGAGATTTGCTTTATCATGAACAATCTGTCTGTCTGGATCACAAATAAAAGAGTTTTCAAGAGACAATAAGAAGCCAGTTAAAAAAAATATACTAACCGGTGCCACGGTATTGCCACACCAGCACTCGCGACCATACTCGAGACCAGCATACGAATATCCGCCACTCTTGCACGTATCAAAGCACATGTTGATGGTCATCTTGTCGTCGGGCTTGACCAGGTTGGACAGGGCGCGACCCCATTGCGGCTCCATGAAGCAGCTCATGTACGACCAGTCGGCATTGTTCTTGATGGCGCCGGGGCCCTGGAACGTGGTCACGTTGAACACCGACATGCGGTTGACGCCGCCGCACATTTGCTTGGAGAGATTGGACTTGTTGTTCTTGCAGTTCATGTTGCAGTCGGACGCCTGGCCGGGCATCTTGACCGTCGGGGGGATGTAGCGGCCGCAGTAGCACTCGCGGCCGTACTCGACGCCGAACAGGGGAAGATTGTTCTTGGTGCAGTACGCGGCGCACGACTCAATGGTCATGGCGTCGTCCGAGTACGATACGCCCGTCAGGACGCGGCCCGGGATCTCCACGGGGCAGCCGAGATATTGGATGCCATTGACGACCTTGCCCATCGTGGGCACGCCATCCCAGTTCTGCGCGAGCGTGCCCTGGGCAGCAAGGATGACAGCCGTCGCGGCCTTGAGTGCAAGAAAGGAACGCATATTTGGATAATGACTGCGAGGCGTCTGAGATGCTTGGTTTTTCGGCAATCTGGTTCAAGTCGATGATGTGTCGTGTATGGAGTATAAGCCATATACTCCTCTTCATCCACTTACTAACAGTTGCAGCGCTCCTGGTGGTGAAGAAGCACCAACTCCTTCCTCGAGTCATTGCAGCATACTTCATATAAGGGAAAGCTAGTAACAGGCTTGTCAAAGGCCAGAAGAGAGCAAAGAAATCCAAGCGTTTCTTTAGTGAGTCAACAAAGCCGAGACAGCAGCACCGGAGGTTGGCTGCCGTACACCACAAAGGATCACGGCGGACCGGCACGATCGATTGCACCCGAAAGCAGTTCTGTCACCGCTGACAAGGGCAAACGGTAATCGAGTGACGTGCGACATCAAGCTCCACGTCTAATTTTAGACTTGAAAGCAAATCATATGTCTCTTATTGCTATTGACATTGATTGCCCCTGGCCTTCAAGATGGCCGCAATATTCCATACTGAGACAAAAGGTTTATATCAGTCATCCATGGCTCAACAGAAAAATAGAAAGAGGAAAGAAGAAATAGAAAGGAGAAAACGAAATATCGAGGAGCGTTGAGATTATCATGTCTTCAAACATCTCAATCGGTCTTGGGGAGGGAATGATAATAAACAATGTTATGCAAAGAGTATATTCGATAGTCGTTGCGGGATCGCATGCTCTTTGATATCTTTGTTGTCGATAGCAGCAGGAATGTGATCAGGAATAGATTTCCGGATTCAACTTGGGAAAATACTTCCTTGCAATTATTATTGCGACCTGCTTGAGGATACGGATATCCTAAAGTCTTGGAGATATGCCTGCCCTTGAAAGACTGGAGATCACTAGAATAGATCCTTTCGACTCAAAGCGTCGGGTTCTCGAGATGATATACTAGTGAGCATACAAAGAACTGAGGCAGTTTGAGCAATTTCGAAAATTGCAAAGGGTCCCGGCAGCCGGAAGCAACACAATAAGGGGATATCAAAAACCAGAGGCATATAGTTCGTCTTGTGAAATCATTACACGAACCGCGTCATCTCGAATCATTTGCATAAGTTGTCATTTCGTGCAGCACCTGTGGAGCTCTGGATAAAGGCTTCTGGACCATCACTTGATAAACATGGGCTATTTGACTCGCTTCTCTTTATACTGCCAGGTAGCATCACCACTTGTAGATATTCATCGGACGTGAGATAAAACCCAACGAAATGGCCCGAGTAGGAGAGTACTTGTTCAAGCTTATTTACACAGAGTTGTACAAGTGTCCTTTGGTCTACCCATTGCAACAGGACACTACCTACGCTGAAGGCATAATTGATCTTTCCATACCACTTTGAATCTCTTTGTACCTGACGTGCGTCATGGGGGTTGCCTTCCTCCCCAGACTTCAAAAACAAGTCATGGAAGACATGAACTTTGCAATTGTCAAGTGGTTGGACATTGTATGTGCCATGATGATAACACGATTCAATTGCTTCGGAACATATCACGACACAACTATAAGAACCTTGCAGAGAAACAGTAACGTGCCTAGTCAAATCTGAGAATTCAATTATTCAAACTACAAGGTGTGTCTAGTGTTGCTATTCCACTAATCCAGATTTCTTCCGTCTCCTAAACGCCACCGACTCATGTTTCTTACATCTTCGCAAGGGATATCCAATACGAGGTACAACCAAAAGGCAGCGATGGCAGCTGCAACACCGTACCTCCGTATTATAAGCAATACCCACGCCCAACGCCATTGACAAAGGAAATCAAACCGGAAATATAGTTTCCACAATAACCTCCCTAGCGTTAATCCACTCAAACCCAATCCTGCAAGATGGTATCTTGACACGGGCAACGTAAATCTTTTCCATATTTTTTGAAGGGTTGATCTTTTTTCTCTCTCTTCCTTTTGATCATCAGTTGCCGCTGTCGATGCGGATGCAAAATCGCCTTCGCTATGCGTAACGCAGAACTGGGAGCCGATAAGCTTCCCGTCTGATGTGTAAATAATATACCACGAATAAAAACCGAGCTGACAAGAACGAAAACTGATGGCGTTTCCAAACAAGGGCCAAAGACACTGCGAAGGGTGTGGACTAGACATTACTGACTATCCGAAAGTCAAAAGTCCATACCAGTACCCATCGAGTTCATACCCAGGTTGTTCATGGAAACATGGTCCGATGTTGTCCGCTGTAGTCCGTATTGAGGCGCCGGTTGCTGTTGTTGCGCTTGTTGGTGCATGGCATTGAAGCTGTTTGCTCTCGGCGGTGATGTACGATGCAGGATGTTGCTCATGAGATTCTGCGCCATTCCGCCGTTCATGTTAAAGCCTTGCCCGTGACCGGTGCCCTGCTGCTGGTTGATCCCGGTCATGCCTTGCTGGCCCATTTGTTGCCCAAGCTGAGTGTGCATCGAGTTCTGCATTTGACCGTGCATGGCATGGTGGGGAAATGCTTGCTGCTGCAGTCCTTGCTGTTGCTGAAAATTTTGATGTTGTTGCTGTTGCTGATGCGACAGCTGTTGCTGCTGATTTGCTCCCATGGTACCCATCATGTCAGGGATCGAATTGTAATCAGTCATGTGTTGTGGGAATTCGACATTGCCCGGCGACATGATTGTGGGTGAGCTGGCCGCCATTGTGAATGGGGTGCTTATGTCGGGGTTGGTGATTGCCCCGTTTGAACTTGCAGCATCATTGACCATCTCGTCAGCCCGAGGAACTGGTGCGGGAGCAAACGATTCCGGCTTATATTGTTGCTCAGTCTTGAAATCAGTCAATACTGGAGGTTGGGCCATGCCGGCAGTGCCGAATCCGTCAAACATGTCAAAGTTGTTCAAGGGGTTGATGTTGTCAGGGACACGCTGAAGAATTGGGTTGGCGAGGCGCGGTAAAGTCTCATGAACCTTGAGAAGGAGGAGCGGCAGTAGTGAATACTCGCCACCGCGCACAACTGATACCATGTGCAGGAGCGAGTTGAGCTGCTGCTGGGGTGAGTAAACACTGAAAGGATCACCTGAATTCGGCATCATGCTCAGTACATCTGCCATGTTGCAGGTGAGGTCTAGCAGCTTGGCAGCCATGGGCACGCCGCCCAAGAGATCTGTGCTCTGGGGAGACAGTTGTGATGCGATTGTCGTCAGGTCTCCCGACATTCCCGGAGGGAACGCATAAGTCATGTCATCGCTGCCGGGCGACATGCCAGGCTGCTGGCTGAGGTGCCAAGCCACCGTCTTCAACCATGACTGATTTGCGTTGAGGTCGTCCATACCATACGGCAACTGAATTTCAGAGAGTCGCTTTTGCAGGAAGGCTAGGTGTTGGGGCGTCACCTCCTTGCGGGTCTTGTTCCAAAGCATCATGAACGTGTCATCAAAGTACTCGAAGATGTTGATGAGAAGAATATGGTTGTTCAATTGGTGGGCCAGAGGATCGCTTGGGTCATCGGCAGTCCTGGTTTTGTTGATCAACGGGAGAGACATGGGTCGGCCATACTTCAAAGTGTATGAACTGGAATATCTGTCAGTTTCTAATCAAATGGTAAAATCGACCAAGCAAGCCTACCGTTCCGAGATAAACAACTGCCAATAGAGACGGCGATATCTTGATGACTCGACTGGTTCATATCGCAGATACTGCTCCTCAGTTGTCAGCCCCATCATGTGGGCAATCGTGGTAGCCTCGCGCAAATGGAACCAGGCTTGGTCGTGCTGCTCCAGGGCGTAGTAGGAGCAGAACAGAAAGTAGCTCGTGCAAAGACTATTAAGGTTGGCGGAACCGATATAGTCGAGGCCCTTGCGCACTCGCATTGCTTCTTCCATCAAGAGCTGGCTCGATGCAATGTTGGCTCCAGGAATTTCAAATAGCGGGTCGTTGCTAGGAACGTGGAATCCCGGCTGCAGAAGCATGAAAGCACTAAGAGATGCAATCATGCAGTAGGTGGTTAGGTCCTGCTCCATATACATGGCCTGCTGCTCCAGTCTCTGGCGGCTCAATATCGGCATGATGGTGTACATGTGTGTGAAGAAGAAGTCGATGCTCTCCTTGACGAGCTCGGGGGCCAAGATGCCGGGATTCGCTTGGAGCGAAGGAGGGCCCGGCGGAGGGGGGACGTTGTTCAGACGGCTCTGAACTTTTGCCGCCAGGCTGGTGGCTCGTTGTGTTTCGCGAAGCTCGCTGATGACCTTGGCTCTGGATCCCTTGGGACCCTTCTTTTGTGGAATGGCATTGTATGTGCATCCCAAGCTAGCTGAGCCGCAGTTGCGGCAAGGATTGCAGCCATCGCACTTGACTTTTCGGCGATGACAGGCGTCGCAGGCCCTCTTCACGGCCGAAGACATGATGTCGTCTTGCGTGTGGAGAGACCAGTGCGAGTTGAGGGAGAGAATAAGAAAAGACGAAGAAGAAAAAGCACAGATATAAGTTTCGACGATGCGTCGTCGTCGACTATAGCGGCGAGGAAGTTGTGATGGAGTGATCCTACAGATAGGCTGGTGGTAGGATATACAATAGAGTTTTTGTGGAATAGAGCACCGACGTCTTTACTCCACGGTCCAATTTGCGGAGAGACTGGAGGTGCAATGAAATGGCTGCTGTCGAGTGTCGTTTAATCGGCCCGTCGCTGTTGTCTAGGCGGAGGAATACCTTTCATTGGGAAACGCGGGGGATTCTGACGGTCCGGGGGCCTGGTTGGAAGGCAGATTTTCCTGTTCCTGTCTGCTTTGCAACCGAAGATGCAATCGCAGATGTTGCTGCCAGCCAACTGAAGCAAGAGAAAGACCGTCGCAGGGGCTCTTCACGATGACAGGTTGAAGGTTACCGGTTTCCTTTGAAGAAAGACAGAGACGAGACCAGATGGGGTGAAGGAGGGTGGACACAGGCGGACAGAAGAGAGAAATGAGCTGGGAAGAGTCGAGTTCACGGACCATGCGGGAGCATGTGTGAAGGAAGAGAGAGAAGAGGAAGGATCCATATCATGAACAAACACCCACGGCGCAAAGAGACACACACCCAAACGAAGGGGGCCCAGCCAGTCAGCGTAGGTTAAACGGTAGGTACCTGGTTGGGTGAGCAGCACACCGAACAAGAAAACTGGGAGAACCCGGATAGACACACGCGGGGGGAGGCAGACGGATGAGAAGACTTTGGGGCGACGGCCAGGCTGAGGATGGCAAAATGGGGGCTGAGGGGGGGCGTGATGGGGCAATAGCCAGAGTGTGGGCTTAGCGCGCGAGCGTAAATGTACCCAAGGTATCCGTTGCCTTGGTGCTCAAATTGAGTGGAGAGACCATGAATAATAGCAGACTAGAGCCAAGGAACCGCCCACTCGCAAGATTCCTGTTAGTACAAGTTTCCGCATTACAGTGGGAGAAACAAGGTCGAGGCCGGCGTTAGACTTCCAGATCGGGTAATCTGACCACCGTAAGGGAGGCCGGACCCGGGAGCTGGGGGGGCTTTGGGCAGCGCGCTGTGAACTTGTCCAGTGTCAATTGTGAGGAGAGAGAGGAGTGCATGTATGCATGTACCTTACTTTTCGACTTTGTAGCGTACACCACTACTTTGAAACACCCCAATACTATTTCATTGTAAGGCATCGATTGTTGTACGAGGGGGACGAAAAGGACAGTGCCGCCTCGAGAGGCTTTTTCTCTCCCTCCCTCTTTCAGCTATGCACATGGACATTGAGGTCATTCAGACGCTGGCGATGCATACCTCAGTGTCGACGAAACCCCAAGCCCTACTGTCCTACTGACGCAAGCTTCCAAGTAACGGAGCCACGGCACGGGTTTACATTTGATTTCTTGGTCTTGTCCTGTCCTGGGCATGCAACCTGAGCAACAAAAGCAGCTCGACGGCGGAGCGTTATGGTTGTGATTGGCCTATGGACTTATTCCCTAACATGGCAAAGCCAGCCAGTCAGACAGACAGGCTACTTTAGGTACCCAATTGACAGAGTAGGTACCTACGTACATTGATTTACCTGCATGCACCTACTACCCAGGGGATCAGCAGCAGCATCAGCTTGTCCGATGCGAGATGGAATTATATTTCTATGCGTTACACTGCGCTGCATCCTACCTGTACTAGACCTACATGCAGATAGGCATTTGTCTACTGTCAGATGTTAGAACCATGAATATGTCCATTCTTGGCTGTTGAGATGATATTGTTAATTCCTCTGATGCGGGCTATTGAGCAAATGGTTCCTAGCCATATGGCTAACGGGAGCACTTGCTCCCACTTACCGCAAGATACGACCGACAATACGTAGTCCCAGTATGAGATCGGCGCACAATCTGAAGACGAGGACGGTCCTGAACGGGGATTCCATAGCTATTGGGGAATGATGAGTGCCAAAATCGTTTCCTCAGTAGGCATGCGCACGCCCACCTATGTCTGCGTGTCGTGGACAAAATATGTACTAATGAGCAGAGACAATGCAAGCCTCATGTTTTTTTTTTTGGGTTGATTTTCTTGGCTGTCGAGACAAGTAAGTACGGTCGATCGCAAATAGAACGGGAATGTGACGATCCATTGCGGGCTCGAGTCAAGTCTGTGCTGAAGCAAACAACAGGCATCGTGCGACTGGATGAATCTCAGCACCCTCGAAAGCGGTTGTAATAGGCGAAAAATCAGGAACCTTTCCGCTTGTCAGACAGCTGACCTACCCGGCTCCAAGAGAGGCTGAGTAACCAAGAAAGAGCATCTGTGTAAATAGGCGCTGAACGCAATGATGATGTTGATATTGAAGTTGCTGGCGATACTAGGGCCGCTTGACAGTTTGATTGGTACGCGAGAGTGCAGCTCCTTGCTGAGTCAGTCCATATTGTCTTGAATCCAGTACGCGAATAGGCGAGCAATGCCTTCATATCTGAAAGTCAATAAATGGAAATTCCAACGACGATCATGCCCTTTAATAATATCTCATAAAAGTTCACGGCCACTCGGCATGAATAAAGGCATGTCTGTTTCTGATGGCCACGTAGAAGCACCCATTTTAGCAGAGTCATGTGTAGGTAGCACCTGGAATTATTAGGCTGGCCGCTGGGCCCGTGATGGCGCGAAACTGATGCCCCTTGCTGTCCTCGAGACGTGACCGCAGGCGCACCAACAATTTGTGATCTTTTTTTTTTATCCCTCTTAGCGTTCCCGGGGCGCTGGAACGAGACGACTTGGTGTTCGGGAGGTCCCCGATGGTAAGAATTTGATCGACAATTGAGGAAATTTGCCGGCTCTTCCTGGCGGTAAAGATGTCCGGCAATTTAGATCTATTGTGTAGCAAGCAGTATGATAGCGCATCTCATCGCAGAAAATGAGATACAGTCTCACATATATCCATATTCCCAGACACATGGAGAAAGCGATCGATCGAAAGCCTGAGCTGATGAATACGATTGCCACTTGCTCTCTTGCTAAAAAAGTCAATGGATTGATTGACCCGCTAAAAATGGCATCTCCTTGGATGGATACGGGGTTTTGGCTGAGGATTTTAGTCCATCCATGCCTTTTCTCTCCCCCCAATCCTCCATTACCGATTCAGCCACTGGGGTGGCCCCCTCAATCGCTTCGCTGAGGCTGCCGTCCGCCTTCAAAATGTTGATTGCCGAAGATGCGTCGAGTGGGGTCTTTTGGTTCATATTGCTTGCAGCTTTTTGTCTTTTCTTTTTTCTTCTCTGACGTTTCGACGTGTGTCGGTCGGCCATCTGCAGCCTTTGTCTCCTGATGATCACCAATGTCTTGGGGGGAAAAAAAGGACGACTACGTTGCTTTTCTTGGTTTCTTCGTGTCTTCCATTGCATCCACGACCATACCTAGATGAGCCTAGCTGCCAAGGTTTAGCATGCTACTGGTCAACGAATAAAAAAAATTTCGCTGCAATTTTTCTCACAGTCTTTGCCGCATATGCGGACAACCAATAGTTGCATACAGACTCAAGGAGCGGCATTATTAGCAGTGGTAGCGGCAGGATGCGGACGGGATGCGCTGAACCCCCTTGTCGAATCACCACTCTCAGTCAGTGACCATGCTCTGTGCCTCTCACCTACAGATCGATTCATCACCAGGCGAAAGACGGGAAGGAATAGCCAAGCAATAATCTACCGTCATTATTTCGCATTTCTAGAATGCGACAAGTTGGTGTCGTGCCGGACACCCTTATTACCTGCAGGCTTGAAGTAAATTATACGCGACAGTCCTTGAATAGGCGCAGGTGCTATGATCTTTTACTCCTAGGCGCAGCAGGTCCAGCTTTTCCTTCGATGATAAAGCTTTGAAACTTTCTTCAAGGTGTAGTATAGCTTGGCAACTTGGACCAAGGGGGCGCGACAAACAGCTAACCTAGGCACGAAAGCTTCGGCACGAGTTGGCAAAAGAGGTAAAGAGCAGGGTCGGTCGGCTAACACTTTGTAGTGGTTGCAAAGTTTAGGGCCTTAGCAGTGCCAGTTAAGGGCCTCGATGATCAGCGACACCACGAGCCAGCCGGTAGCCCGTTTGTTAGATCGATCGCCAGCACGCAGTACTAAAAAGAAAAAAAGACTGCACGTACCTCCCTCCCTTATTATTAGCCCTCGAATAGTAACACGTTCTTTGGCCGCCAACAGCCTAACGTTCGGATTGCCCGTCAGCCCGCTACGTATTCTTTAGAAAGGACTCGGTCTCGAGACTCTGAAGCACGTTTGCGCGCCGGTCGCCTTTTGTTTCCCCTTTCAGCTTGTTTCTGATGGTCTCATCAGTCTTAGGTCATCCTTTTGAGCGAGATGCTTGAGGGGGATGCTGCTGGTCTCGGTGCCGACCTCGAATTACTACTACTGCTAATCATCAACCATACAACCTATGAAAGTACATGCTGTTCTGGAATACCTAATCAGGGGCCAATATGAAGCGTTGGCCTGCCAGCGTCCCTTTTGGGATTAGAGTTAAGGTGGTACTTTGACAGAAGGTTATTCCAACGGAAATGAGGCCATGTACAAACCTATGACATGAAAGCACTAGCACGTGTTGCGCACTTCAATCTATATGCTCCAAATTGGACGTTCTTGGTGTCGGACCTGTCAGTCGATGGATGCAATGATCAAATCCAGCCATGCTGAAACCGTACCTGATGAGAATCCACGTCTTGGTAATAATGGCATATCACCGAGCACATTCATGCGCCGCTTTATGCTCCTCTCCAACACATGATCTCGAGGCATATGAACAAGCTTGCTGGTGTGAAGTGTAGGCGTTATGGTCGTTCATGATCCCGCATGAAAAAGGAACCGTTTTGCGCATGGAGGTGATTGCGGAGAGACAAGTCAACCCCAGGCTTTTTGCGCCCTCCAAGGCGTCTTCTCCCCCGCAGGCTAAGCTGTTCGTGATCACTTCATCCGCTGGGGATCGGTCCGATAAGCAGGATAACCCAAAATAATGCGACATCGCTAAGCAAGTAGTTTCTTTTTTTCCCTTCATTTGCACCACTTTGAGGCTTTCCGAGACGAGGTATCATCGCTTCCAAACCTTCTCCCTCTCCAATCTATAGTTACTTTGATTAAGCCTGTCAAAAAGTGTAAAAGCCCGTGGACCCAAGAGGAAAACAAGATCGCAATACTACTTTACACATCTGCAGTCCATTGACGGGTTCCCGAAGAGTTACATTCCGCAGAAAGACTCCGACGCTCATCACAACTCCGCCCTAGAGCTCCGACAGTCGTCGTTCGGGAGATGCCTTTTAAGAACTCCAACTCCGTTTACAAGGCGTTTCCCCCCAGATAATTGAGTTGTCAGCTGCAATTTGTGAATGCTGCCAAAACTGTCGTGTTCCAGGTCTCCCTATCATCTACCCGGTCTCTAACCTTTGGATAAGGTCCAAGCCATGACAAGGCTTACGAAGACGTCTCCCCATGGGGTGAAAGAAAGCCATCTTTGCTATCAGATGCCAAGACCCCCTTGTCATGCCATGTATGGTTCGTAAAGGGCTGATCATCATGACCGAACCTAATGACAGTCGTTGTTGGGTTTGTCGCCTGCAGTAGTGTCTTGATCATTTCCGATCAGAAGAAAAACGGGCTGCTGCAGATGGAACCTATCCGTAAGAAACACAAACAGGGCCGATAGTGAAGTCCGGCTTTATTCTCTAAAGAATGAATGCTACGAAAGCCGCGCCCCAAGCTTCATGGACGCAGGTAAAAGGGGGTTTAGAATTCGCTGGGCTCCGTCTGGGGAGAATCTTGATTGTGTTGGGGACATTGCCGTCAAGACTTTGTCGACTCAGATGGAGAAACATGCTTCTGCTCTTTTGCAAGCGGGTTAGGTTGCGTTACGTTGCCATCTGGGTGGCCGATAGATTTACACGGCCCTGACTAAGAAGCCCGTTGATAGAATGAAGGTGGCGCGATCTTTCGTCGTGAGCAAAGCATTTCTAGCTGTAGTAGTGTCTTCCAGATAGCATTCAATGCTGTACTTGTCTATCAAAGAACTCACGACACGATGACAGTGATAATCAATTCATGTCGTGCCATCATGCTCTTCGTCTGAACCTAGTAGACAAAGAACAGTCTTCTATATCCCAAAATTCATTGCTTGTGTCCCACATTCTCGTGTAGCAGGTAGTGATACCAATGGTGGTGCCGAGACTCGGTGCTACCGGTAGCAAAGGTACGTGAGTCTACCCATCAAGAGGAGCCCAGTTCCATGTTCTGAGTCTGAATACAAGAGGCAGATTTATCTCTTCGGCCAATCGAGTTCCTATAGTCTGAACCTCATCGACTGTGTCAAGATGTTGCCTTGTGAACATGGGAATAAGAGGTGTATTCAGCAGTCACTCCCTAATCTCTCTTATTTGTGGCTCATCCTGAGATGATAAGAGCCGGAATTGTATATGCCTTGACTTCAGGTCCGTGTATTTTGGATATAATGTTCTCTACACTGTCGGCTTGCTAAGTGAGAAACTACTACAGAATTCATCACGTATATTATATTAGTAGTCTCAGATGGTAAAGAATCCTACAGTACATGCGAGCTTGACGTTTTGTTCCATAAACATGAAATCTAAAATCATGGTTCAATCGTAAAATGAGTTCTTCTGATCACATCTGCTACCGGCCTATGGGGCGTCCAAGTCCAATCTATCCAGAATGATCGCTGATAAACAAAGATTCATTGTTCGGAAATGCTCTTCCGAGTCTGCCCATTCTTCTCCAGACGCAGCTCTTCAGCTAAGCGCCTGGGTAATAGTCGACAAGTCAAGGAGATCAGTGATGACGGCCCTTACTCCTCTTGGGCAAATACCTGACGTGCTCGGCACAATCCGTCTGGTCACCCTTGAAGCTATCTCGAGCCGGCACAAAGTCGCCTCCTTGCAGACTGCCCTTGACAAAGTACACGTACCAGGCCTCATGGAGAACATCGTGCCTTCGGCCAGAACACTTGAGCACCACCTTGCCGCCGCTAAACTCCTCGAGCGTCTTTTGGATCTTGGCCAGGCTGACCGTCTTGTGGGCGTCGGGCTCAATGCCCGCCTGCGACAGGGCCATGTACGTGTCCAGCATCTTGAAGAGACCAAATGCGCGGGTAAAGTAGTCAACCACCTCGAGACCGGGAGTGTAAGTGGACTCGTAGCATGATGGAGCCAGCGTGTTGATGCAGGTGGCGTGCTTGTTGTATTCATGGGCCCAGAGATGAGCGTTCCCGCCGCTGAATGGGAGGCAGCCTAGTGTCAGTCTCTCTTGTAATACTCATTCATGTGTAAAGAGCTCCCTTGCTCAAGACGACTTACTACTTGGCCACCCAGTATCTGTTCATGTGCTCGAGAAGCTCTTCTTGTCCGTAGTGCTTCAAAATCTCGGTAATATTATTGAACCGAGGGGCCATGCCGCAGAACTGATCATACGAACCATCGCAAAGATCGGGCCTAATGAGATCCAGATAATCAATACTAGTTCCTGGATTCTTGAGTGCAGATTCATAGTCAAAAAGTATCTCACCAAAGACCATGTAACGTCCAATCTTCTTCCGAACCGCCAACATGAATCTCTTCGTCCCAGAACTGGGTCAGCAGGAGTCTTCCGCCTGGGTAGATGAAGCAGCAAGAGTCCCCGGCTGTTTGATTGTGACAGCTCATGGGCACATCGATGGGACAGGTTCCCGCGCCCGAAAGCGGGATATATGGTGTTATCGCGGCCGGAGCATGATGGTCGTTTACGGCGTTGTTATCGGTAGCGGGCGGCGCGAGTACGGAGCCGAGTGGGTTCGGGAAGTCGGAGAGCTGTAGGGGTACCTGCGAGAGCAAGTTGGAAGCGTAGGTGAAAATGTTGCGTAGAGATGTCGTCGGCGCCATGGTTGCATGTGTTGCATAAAGTCAAGACAACAAGCAATCAATCCTGAATATATCTATTGTCTGTCAAGAAGCGGTCTGTCTTTCCAAGAGAGACACTTGAAGGTAACGATCAGCTGCCTACCAAACATGATCCCATGACGTCGCGTAGGGCTGATCAGCGATAGCGATAGCGGGATTGTTTGGTGCCGTGCAGTGGAATGCTGCACTGAAATGCAGGGGTCAATAGGCAGTGTTAGGGGTCTTGGCCGCAAGCAAGCTCTAGTGTCAAGAAGCACTACAGACCTCGAGATTACAGTTATACGCGGCACTACAAGCACAAGGCGCGTCAGCTAAGACAAAGGCAACATCGTAAGTGAGGCCTCCTCAATCTCCCAGGCTACGTTACAACTATGTGCTACAAGTCGCCATTCAAGACATCGCACACAAATTAGTGCAGCAAATGTACTGCGAGTACATATCATAGGCGAAAATGTATCAATTTCTATAGTCTAGGGGTATCATACGCTGTGTTCCTGTAAGCAAAATATTGCCAGCCTCAGTCTAGCCCATAACGCCGCTCTACATGCATCGAATGGTTCTGCAACTCCCAGCAGAGTCTTAAACAGCCTCCCAATCCATGGCATCTGCAATGAAGCCCCAGTCCTCTTCCTCTCGTTCCCAGTCCATGGGATTATCAGGCCCGGAATCATCTCGAAGCTGCTGAATGTGCGACTCTGCAATTGCATACGCTTGGTCGCAGCCCGCAAAGATGGTTTGCAATATCTGCTCGAGGTTGTACGCTTCTAGCGGAGCTGGTGTATATCCCTTCTCGTCTGGACCGGAATCTCCATCTGCATTTTTCCAGCGGTTGCGCAGTTGTTTGGCTCTCGAGAGCTGTTTCATGACCCCTCCTTGACCCAAAGCTTCCCGCAGCGGATTATCCGGCCTCTCGAGAGCAGCGAGAACATTGGCGTGGAATCGGTGGCTGTGCGATCTGCCGGAGGAGTTGTGGGTACTGTCGGCAAGGCCAGTAATCTCAATGCCAAAGACGCCCATGAGATGGACCAAGGCTCGCTCGATATGCATATAATATCTGAGGGGTAGCGAACGTTAGACACTGCTTAAACGCAAGAGAGGTTCTTGACAATAGCTCAGGGGCGGGGCAACTTACTCGTAAAAGTCAATCTTGAAGTGCATCTCGTCGGCAGCGACCTCGTCGGTTGAACGACCAACGCGGTCTGTAGCCAAGCTGTAACCCTGGAAGAGGAATGAAAGCTTCCATTTGAGACGAGCTACCAGCTTAAGGTATCGATCCAATTCCCTCTCGGGAGAAGTCTTGATCGCCCGACTGGTAGAGGCAGGAGCCGGACGCGTCGCTGCTGGTGTTGACGATGATAATGGCTGCGCATTCTGCGGCCACGTCCTAAGCGAGCCAGTGGTGGGGGCTGATGCCCAGCGAGAATCCTTTAGGCCCATTGTGGTGATGCTTGGTTCCGGGAACCAGGAGAATAAAATTGCATATTAGGCAAATTAATTGTGATCAAGCGAGTGAAGATATATCCAGCAATGGACAATGGTCATTGTAAGGTGTCGGGTAGGTCAAGGGAAAAACAAAGGAAGCAAGCCATTGTCGTTGGACTGTACTGGCGGAGTCTCGAGTCTCGACTACCAACTACGCAGACGTAGTGGGGCAATTGACGTCCGTCCAAGATCGTCATCTGCGACTGCCCCGGACGAATCGACTATAATGTCCCAATACAATGCAACTGCGTTTTGCTCATGAGGAGACATGCATCCAGCTTTGAATAATCTTACCAACCAAGGTAGCATTTTTATGTTTGCCTTGATCTTTGAAAAATCTCAATATTACAACCAGACGTGGCCAATGGACGCCTTTTCTATATTTCGATAGAACTGGAGCAAGATAAATACCATAGATTAAAATGCATGACCACAGAAAGGCTGCTTGTATCGATGAAATCCATCAATGAGGGAATATTAGAATATTAGAACCCCCAATCTAATCATTGATTCCAACATGAAATTAACGACGGAATTTTGCGATTAGACTATGGAGTATCGTGATAGGCAGCAGTGAGTAGCAACCGGCACGATAAGGGCGGAGTGAGAGGTCATGATTTCAATTCACAATTATCAATTTATATCGCTTGAATCGATTTTTTGTAAACAATTAAAGGTACCATTAATTCTAGTAAAAGGAATGTCCTGGGCCAATTGCGCGCCACCATTTAAATGCTAAAACTCCAAATACCATGCACCAAAAACCACGCTGAATGCCAAAAACAAAATGCAGAATAATTTATCGTTGCCCGTTGTGCCAAACCATTCTAGTGTGTGTAGGAGATGTAGAAGCCGTTGTTCTCGTCCTGCTCGAAGTAGACGTTCCTGTAGTCATCGACACCGACGTTCTCGGATCCCTTGTGAGTGGCGAACGAGAGGTAAATGGTCTCGGCACAGTTCAAGTCCCATGAGCCGTGGTCGGTGGCGCCGATCGAGGAGCTGTCCCAGTTGGTCAGATCGGGACCAAACTCGTCGCTCGTGACCGTGGCGTCCTCGACCTCGCTCCAGGACACGCCGTCGGTGGCATCAATGTCCTCGATCTGGTACACCGAGACGCGACCGTTGCCAATGACGCTGAAGACGCGCTCATCTGCCTCGCCTTGCTTCCAGCGGAGAGTGCACGTCTTGGCTTCGGCCGGAATGCCGCTGAAGACGCCGACTTGGTTGATGTCCATGGCGCCAGAGACAACCTGGAAGTAGCTGACGGCTGAACCAGTAGTCTCGGGCTCGGCGGGTACTACGACGAACATGTCTCTCTGATCGTCGGTAGTAAAGCCACTGGTGCCATTGGTGCCGTGAGTTCCATTGGTGCCATGAGTTCCATTGGTGCCAGTGGTTCCATTGTAGGCAGTTACCGTGGAACCGATCGAGACGCAAGGATCGTGGTCAAAGCAGCCGTCGTACTGTCCACACTTGGAATACCAAGTACCGGTAGAACATTCCGTTCGTGTCTTTAGAGTGCTGGAGGGTGCAACACAGGGATCGTAGTCGAAGCATCCTGAAATGTTACCACAAGTAGAGTACCATGTCCCAGTAGGGCAGTCTTGTCGTGTCTCCAGGTCGCTAGAATCAGAGGCAGTGGACGGCTCAACACACGGGTCGTAGTCAAAGCAGCCATCGTAGATGCCACACTTTGAATACCATGTGCCAGGAGAACATTCTTGCCATTCTCGTGTTGTTAGGGTATTGGACGGCTCAACACAAGGGTCGTAGTCGAAGCAACCATCGTACTGTCCGCATTTGGAGTACCAAGTTCCGGGAGAACATTCTTGCCATTCTCGCGTGGTCAGGGTATCGGACTCGGATGCGGTAGAGGAGGGCGAGACGCATGGGTCGTAGTTGAAGCAGCCGTCGTAGATGCCACACTTTGAGTACCAAGTTCCGACTGGGCATTCTTTCCACTCTCTAGCCTGAAGCTGGTCAGACTGCGGCGCGACACACGGATCATAGTCGAAGCACCCGTCGTAGGCGCCACATTTGGAGTACCAAGTTCCGGCTGGGCATTCGTGCCATTCGCGAGTCGTCTTGAATGTCTCGGACGGTGCGACGCAGGGATCGTAATCGAAGCATCCGGAGATGCCTCCGCATGTATAGTACCATGTTCCAGTAGAGCACTCTTGCCACTCTCGAGGTGGTAGATTGTTGTCCTTGGTAGTTGCGGGACGAGCAGAGGCAACAGCCAGGAGACTGATGCCAGACAGAACAATGTTGCTGTTGACCATTGTGTATGATGATATTGAAAGTCGAGAATGTTTATGAAGTATGTTAGGAATTGTTGTGTAAGTGAATAGAATTGATTGTGATGTGATGATGATGATGATGATGGACGAGAACGGAAGTTGTGGTGGTTGTCAATGGTTGTTATATAGACTCTGGCAACCGCGGAGAGAGGGAGGGAGACATAGAGAGCAATTACTGTTGTCCAATTTACTAAGTTTCCTGAGCCTCCAGCGCTGACATTTCTGAAGCTATCCCAACGGAAAAGCGCAGCGCGTTCCCTTCACTGCCTTGTGAAGCGAACATACGAGAGAGGAATAAGCTAAAGAGGTATATTGCGGCATTCTGATTGGTCGCACAGCTGTGGCAGACCATAAATGCCCCGAGGCGCAGCTCAACCGGATCAAGCAGCCCCGGAAAGGCTATTCGGAACGTTTTGTGGCACGTCCCATCATCTTACGCCAAGACGACCTCGAGGGCTGAAAGCGCCCAAATATAGAGTTGGCTAAGCCGCCAAACCAGAGGCTGGACTACTTGGCATAAGGCTTATGATGGGCTGAGAGATCAAAGTTTAGGCGGATCCGACAGTAACACTTGTGGTGGAAAGAACGCGCAATTGCTGATAACGACCTAACAATATTCTCGTATGGTCGATAATAGGACTAAAATGGCCAACGACAGCCGGTATCACTTGGTCACAAGATGCAACAATAGAGTGTTGTTGAGTACGCGGTCTTGTATAGTATGTTGGGCAGGATTAACAGTAGACTATGTCGGAACTCTCAGATGCCGATGTGTATAGCTTGAAATACAGAGGCCAACCTGTCATGGAAGGTTTTAGAACAGCAAAAATAGAGAATCTATCGGAGATGTAACAAGTTTTGTTGTCGCCGATTCGTGCGGGGAGATCTTGATTGGCTTGGATATGCAGGTAGATCAAGTTTGAGGTCTGTAGACTTGATCAACAAGGCTTGGTAATGGTGCTGTCTTATTTACTAGATCGACTTGATTCGGGCACCTAATTCGAGTTCTGCGCCGCCTTGGTCGTTTAGTCGTGCCTTTGCATGTCAATATGACAGAGTCATTCCTCCCTGTTGCACCCGTTGCCCCCGTTGCCTCTCTATCGTATGGACTGAGTTTGATGATATGCCAACTCTATTTATAACCAATTCGCAGACTCTTATGCATGATTAATGAAATGTGATGAGAAACAGAAAGTTCATTCGGGTTTGTGGCGGCGGCGAAATCTGCCGGATAACAAAGAAACCCGTGCGGAAGGATTGAGGCCAACCTGAAGGATGAATGAAAGCAGAGGCAGCCTCATGTTAAGCTTTATATTCCTGTGTAAGCAATAAAAAGACTTTTCGCCATACTACACAACTATGTATTATGATGTACTTTCAAGCCTTGGAATCTTTGGGTTGACCAACTTGATTTGCACCCACAACATTGCGTAGTCGCAAACATTGACACTACAAGCTTTTGGAATCATGGTGTACACAGTCCAAGGTGAGATGGCTTCATAAAGCCGGGATGGACAGCTTTCAATTGGGTTCAGCACGACAATTGCCAAGCCGCACTTGTTAGGGGTCGTCGAGAACGGTGCTCAATGCCTGCACGTCGAAAGGAAGGGCTTGTATGGTCTGATCAACATCTACATTCCCATTCGTACGATTTCTCAGTCCTGCAGATCATCTCACCATTATTGGGCAGAGAAAAGCTATGAGTGTGTGGTACAGGGAATTGCACGTGGGTGAGAGCATGCATGCAGCAGCATAGCCGTCCATACCAAAACTCGGGGAAGGTTTACAGTATAGCCGGCAGGATGATCTTACATTCAGGGGCTGGACACACATTTTTATTGGATGAGTCGCCGCAATGGGAGTCTTTAACTCCACGTCATCGATGTTGTTGCGATATCCCTAGCGTTTCTGAAAGTTTTGTCTAATGAACAGCCGAGTAGCGATCTTCTCATCCTCTTTGAAGTCTTCGCTACAAAGATGTTGTCGAAAAGGACCCATTTGCAATTTGGATCATTACTTATCATGTATCAATTGTAGCTTAAACGTGACAAGTATGTACGTGTTGTTTCTCATGCCGAGATGTATCTGTATTCTCTGTTCTCACCTATGAGGATGGTATGTCTAAAATATTTCTACGGCCGTCCTCAAGTCAACATACATGCGCTGCAAGCACCATTCATTCACCCTTGGGTGTACTAATCAATTCAATGGGGCGAAAAAACTCGAATTCAAAAATACACCGGACGTTCAGTCAATAGATGCGAACCAGTTTCACCACCACCTGCATGTTCGGAGTAATTACGCAAGGACCTTGGTATGTAGTACGGCAACAGATGGAAGCCTAGGTATACCCAGTAATACACAGGAAATTGATTATGTCAAAGCAGACAATACATTACACATTTCTTCGCGAGAAAATACCTAGTTTTGGTAGCCATTACAGCCGTCATTTGTTCTGGGCGAGTGCATATGGAGGCATGGAACTTGACATATGTACACGGGAGGCATAACGCATAGCAAATCCCACCAGAACATTCGTTATTGCAGACTGCCAAGCGGCTAGGAATTGCGCCATTCAATAAGTCCAATACCCTGTGTTCCCTAAAGGACCCCTAGTCGCATTATAGCAGTCATAACTCAATACATTTCCACCTATAGTGCCGCGGTCTACACTCAGCAGAATATCTGAATCTTTCGGACGCGCCAGCAATACAATTCATCAGCCGAAAAACCCGCTCAAATTTCAAATGTTTTCTTATCAAAAAGCCATCGAGTCACGAGGATCCCTCGGAGTTGGGATTGCGACATACGGGCATGATGAAGAAAGAAGACTTTCAATACGACTCTGACGATTTATCGTCATGACGAAATTCACAATCAACCGCGCCAAGCCCAAGCGATCTTTTATTTTCCCCCTTCTTCTCCTCAGCCTCGGCCATACGGGTGGTCGTCTGACATGGAAAAATTCCTGATTCCTAGACCCCTCTGGATGATTTGTTTGGCCGTGTCCAGGCCGACTGGGTTACAATGTTGTGATCACGACAATTCTGGGACCAATGATACCACTGATTTATCAATACTCGCTTCAGTCCCTTTTCTCTCCCCCGCAACCGCAACCGCTACTCGGAAACACGCTGTACTGCGCCCCCCGTTCAACATCTTATATGCAGTGCTCGAGCTTACTGGCGGCGGTCCAGCCTCATGATTCGCCGAGTCTGCATTATACCATATCCTTGTGACCTCACCCGACAGCCTGGATTGCATAACGCGGGCCCAACCCTCGAAAGCAGCCCGCCCATTTTTTATTACCGGGTCAGAGATCCGCTGTGTGACTTGCAGGCTGCAAGCTGCGCGAAGAGAGAATGCGACAGCGATCTTTCCGGTCGACAGCTCCAACCGATCAAATCACCAATGATAGACGGCCAGGCCACAAGCAAGTGTGGGTCATGGAATGAAGGTCAGCTTCGCTCAGGCGAATATAGTGCATCCTAGCTTGCTGAATTAGGAAGGTGTTTCGGCAGTCACAAATGACGCCCAGCTGGTGGGTAGGACTGAGCACGACTATGATGATGTTGATGTCTATCGCGTGTAAGTCAAAAGTTGCGAGAATGATCAGTATCGGCTGTATGAAGGATTATATAATGGCTCGTGGACTGTGCGAAAGAGACATGCAAGCCAAAGATTTTGAACAAGTCCAATCCATTCGTGGTGCTCGAAACCTAGAAGTCACAAAGATACCAGGTCAAGAGATACTACGATTGATTAATAGCAACCATGAAAACAAACTTTCAAGCCTTATGGCTATCGTTCATCTGGGCCGCCAAGGCCTCGTGGTCCCTTGACGACGGTCTGACAGTCACAACAGGAACTGGTATCTACACGGGCTTGATTGCCCCCGACTACGACAATGTCAGAGAGTTCCGCAGCATACCCTTTGCACAACCTCCCGTAGGAAAGCTTCGGTGGAAACCACCCGTGGCTCTGCCGGCGTCCCGGAAACATCACTACTCTACCAGATATCCCACCAACTGCCAACAATACCTGCCCAGCTCTCTCTCGCTATGGAGCACCGTCCTGACCGACTATGGCATCGACACCCTGGACCAGAGCCGCCATGCCGGAGAGGTGGCGCAGACGAGCTCTGAAGACTGCCTGGCTCTAGCCATTTGGACGCCCGCCAACGTGACGGCCGACGCCAAGCTGCCCGTGGCCTTTTTCATCCACGGCGGGGCCTTTGTACAGGGCGGCGTCGACTCCCCTTACCTCAAGCCGACGAACTGGGTGAGCCGGAGTCAAAAGCACATTGTGGTCTCTGTTAATTGGCGGGTCAACATTTTTGGCTTTCCTAATGCCGCGGGTCTGGATTCTCAGAATGTCGGATTCCTTGATGCTCGACTGGCCTTGGAATGGGTCTATGAGAACATTGAGGCATTCGGGGGAGACCGCGACCGCATCACCCTATGGGGCCAGTCAGCAGGCGCCGTGGCATCAGATATCGTCGGCTTCGCCTTCTGGGAAGATCCGTTGGCCTCCAGCTTGTTCTTGCAGTCGGGGAACGCAATCAGACAGTTTGCCAGGGGCGATGACGCTCTGCAGACAAACTTTACATTTGTGGCAAAGAACCTAGGTTGCGACTTTGAAGACGACGCCGAAGCTGAGCTGGACTGCATGCAGCAAGTCCCGGCCAATCTGATTACGAATTTCGTGGGCCAGTATGGAGACAACAACACCGAGCCCGGGTTGTACTTTAGACCGACCGTGGATGAAAAGGTCGTCTTTGCAAACTACACGGCGCGCGCAAAAGCCGGCTTCATTCCCAAGATCCCGGCACTGATCAGCACGACTGCCAACGAGGATGCTAGTCTGATTGCATATCCCGCAGACAACCTGGTCGAGGGTCCCAACAAGACCGCCACCAACCTAGGGACATTGGCCGCCTTTGTTTGCCCGGCTTTCTTTGGGACAAATGTCCGAATTTATAACAACTTGACAACGTATCGATATCAATACGCTGGTAACTTTTCCAATATCTCACCGTACTCATGGTTGGGCGCCTACCACGCATCCGATATCCCCCCCATCTTTGGTACCTATGACTTGCACGGTGGCTCAACGGCGCTCGAGACCGCAGTCAGCAAGATTATGCAAAACTATATACTTGCCTTTATCTCGGATCCTCTCAATGGGCTGAAGAATCTTGGTTGGGCACCAGATAATAAGTTGCTCCAGGGCACTATGAAGCGATTCGCTGCGCGCACTGTAGAGGAAAAGACGGTCAACTCTCTAGATGTGGACAACCCTTGTCGCGGCATTGGCAAGTATGACCCGAGCCCGAGCTAGAGAGTATTTAAATATGGCGGCTGAGGCGGACATTTTGAATCTCGGCGAGATCCAGTCATTCTTTAGACGTATAGTCCGTACGGACATGGCTAAGCTATAGTTATATATAGTCATCCTACTTACTGCCTATCGGCGCTAATGTATAGTCTTATCTATAATACAACTTCACTCTTTACAAATATCAACTCATTTTCAATAATCAACAAATTTCTCGTAGTTGACTTGACAAGTTACTTTTTCTGCTAGATTAAAAATGTCGTCTTGAGATAAACAATCATTTGCGCGTCTGAATCCCATGCTCGAGGAATTTCGCCGGGCCGTTGTACTGAAATAGGTGTTATACCCGACCGTCGTCTCTATGCACCTCCGCACGCAACTAACGCACTAATTTGCGTGCTCAGCCAGGTGGCTCGACGCTCCGCACTTTGACACCTTCTCTCCTCCCTCCCTCTCTCCAACAACTGGGGGACCCCGGGGCAGATCTTTGGGAACCAGCATCCAAGGCACAATAGATTACAGTCGACTGAACTTATCACGACGCCACAAGCGCCGCAGCACAAGGGGAGAGAAAAAGAAGAAGAAAAATACCGCACAACCACCCCCTCAAGAACCTAGTTTCCACACGGGCACCGTTTCTTGCCATGACCATGATCAAAGCCGCCGCGCCGGCCCCACAGGATGACCTGAAGACCGTGGTTGAGACGCGGAACCGGGAGTGGCATTTCCACATTTACTTCCTGCTGCAGTCTCCGGCCGAAAAGGCTGCGGCCCTTGCACTTCGCGACGCCGTTTTGAAATTGCGCCGAGATGGTGACTATTTTTTTTGAATTATGCCCATGCTTTCGTGAAGAAAGAAAGGTGTCGCTGACTTGATTCAAGGTGCCTTTGTCGCTGTCCCGTTGTTCAGGGTCAATGAGTATCCCATGGGTCCTCACCCAGCTGGATCATACGAAAGTAGGTTGTTGAGCCAATTGGGCGAAAAAAATTCAATGAAGAGACTTGAGAATCAAGAAAACTGGCGCTGATTCAAGACCACCCAAACTATAGTCTGGGTGCCCGACACTTCCTTCTCCGACGTGTTCTTTTACCTGTCAACCAACCGAGGAAACCTGAGGTGAGTTTCGTGGGAACTTTCCCCCATGCATATACCTGCACGTGCCGAGTATATATATGTATACGATATCTCAACCTCGACTTGCCACCTCACTTAATTCCCAAGTCTTCCAACACTTACAAAATTAAAAGCATCCTCGTACACCCACTGACCGCCTACCAACGCCGCGACCACGAGCTCCGCAACGCCTGGATGGGCACGCCGTGGCCCATCTACCTCGACGTTCTCCCGCGGGACGGCGATATCCCGCTGCAGTACCCAGAGCTAGGGCTCGGCTGGTCCACGTCGCCTAAGCAGGAGATTTCGCTCGACGAGAGGCGCAAGCGGGGCGCCGAGGTCGAGGCTCTGCTCGCCAATGACCCAGAGGCGGCCCCGGCGCCGGAGAGCTGATGAATGCTTTGGGACTTGGTTTTACTCTGTTCCCGCGATTGCCGAGTAGCAAGCCCGTGAAATTATGCTGGGAGATGGCTTTCCAACAATGATCGCAGGGGCGGCGTTGTACATGTGTACCTGGCAATCACAGTTCTTAAAATTACTGCTTCATGTACATGCCCATTCTTTGTCATTTTGACTACGGCATAATTCGCTTTCATACAGCCAGCAATTTTCAAGTCTTGGTGATATTTGGACCTCTTTCTGTTTATCAAATGGTATCTTATCAACAGCCTTCGCATCATGTCGTGCCTGATATCCCCATTATGCCCAGCTATAAATACAAGAAAAAACAAGAACAAATCTGTCATTTATCATCATGATCTGACATCTAGCCGTCTAGGCGCGACACTTGGCAGCCTCGGCTGCCCAGAGCTCTTTCTCTTTCTTTAACTCTCTCTTTGCATACCAAAACGTGGCAGCCGTCCAGATACCAGCCCAAATAAACGGCACGCTCCAGCCAATGGTGTAGGCCGCATCTGCGCTCAATGTGAAAATCAAAATCGTACACAGCACGGCGCAGCTCTCGGCGCCAACCGCCCAAAAGATGCCGAGTCTTCTCAACATGGAACGGAATATATGGCTTGCTTCGTAACGCTTGTCAAAAGCCACACGATAGTCGGTGCCGCCGGATCCATCCACAGCACAAATATCCTCAATCAGAGAATAGATACCGGGACGCAGCTGCGAGCCTTTCGGAATGGACGAGATGCGAACCGGTGCGGGTACCTTGAAGTACCGGCAAAGGTCAATGGTAAGAAGTAGGGTGCCAAAGACATACAGCATGGTCGCTAATGGCATGGAAAGAAGTCGGATATAAGGATCTTCCTGGACCGATCCGACAATCAACTCAATCATGACAATGATCCACGCGAGTGTAAACATCCAATGGAACCAATCAAGATACCATCTATGGGCACCAATGACCTGTGAACATGTTAGCAATGCTGTTCTTGGATATTTGTTCCGCAACATGTACTCACCCTGCAGGTACTGTTCTTCTTGTACAGCCGCCAAAACCGCACAAAGTATTCCAGGATACTCGCACCACCAAGCGCTGCTGTCACGATACTGAAGACGGTATTCGCGCTGAGTCGCTCATCGTCGGGATTTCCGGGGCCGACGCCGTACCACAGACCAAAGTACAACGCAATCGGCATGACGACCGAGTCAAACAGGATGACGGACCAGAAGAGAAAGATGGCCATTTTCCGCGTCCGCAACGTGTATCCTAGCCTCGGCGGCTCGGGCTGGAACGCCGGCACGGTCACTTGTTCACCTGCGCTGGTGGTCACGGTCGGCTCGACCGCGTCCATCTCCGTGTCTTCCAGAATTTGTGGCTGTTGGGAGCTCCTCCTCCTTGTCATGGCCAGACTCGGCCGACCAAAAGGTCCGTCAAATCGGCGGTCAAACTCCTCACTGGCACGAGCCTTTTGCGTCGACGTTCGCGGCTGTGGCTGCGGCCGGGATAATTGCAAACTTGTCCTAGGATGCCGCGGCATCGGCGGCGAAGCCATGGCGGGATCGTCGTCATTATCGGCGGCGGCGCCAGTGGCACCCTCTTTAGGGATGGCATCGAGTCCGACGGGAGCGCTCTGCGTTTTCCGTTCGTCAAGCATCTCGTTTGCAATTTGTGGTGGTGGCTCTAGGGGTGAGCCATTGTCTTCGGGTAGAGTGCGACCCAGAGCATCCGCTTGTGCACCCTCACGTGTCTTGGTGTCTGTGTCAATGTCCAGGTCGTCTTTAACGACACTCGGCTTCTCGGGATCTCCAGGACCTGCCGGAGAAATCTGTTTATTGGACATGATGAACGATGTTGCTACAGTAGTCCATGCCACTGTTCGTCTAGATGATTCTAATTCGGAGGTGTTCACCAGAGGAGCCAACTGTACCTTGGCTTGATGTCCACTGGTGAGGTATGCGGGAGGTATCGAATGTCAACAAGCCTTGCACACGCAATGGACAAGTAATAGTGCAAGACGAGAATTGAGAAATGGCAGTATGAGTTCTAGGCCAGAAATTGAACGAAGGATCAACCACTTTTGGAATAGATGATGAAGAAGCCTGATGGGGCTTAATGTATGACCGTCTGTAGTCTAGGTCTTTTTTTTCTCCTCCAAGTCTCGTAAGTTGAGAATCAACGTCACGTCAAGTTAAAGTCCGGACTGGAGTTCCGGTTTCTAGGGCGTCCCAAGAAATGAAGGCTCGGCAGTGATGTCATAAGCTCCAATAACCGTTGGATTGGCACCAGGGATATTGCCAAAGCACAGGCCATTTTTGAGCACTAGCTCCACTATTCTGGCCGGGCCTTTGGCTAGCTTGAGATCATGGTTGAGGAGCGCTAGGGCGCATTCAGTACATACCTACATTGCAGCAAGGATTGAAGTTCCGTCTTCTCTGGACGTGTCTCAAAAAAGACCACAAACTACTATGAAGCAAACGCCTTTAAGAAAAGAGAATCTCATGGCATGTACCATTAGATTTCTGCTTAATACTTGCAAATACTGCAGGTTTGCGTTAAAAAATGGGACAGTCGCTCGTTTCCTGTGGACAGACAGAGTTCTTGGGTGTGCTGAGTCCTGACGGAGCCGACCGACCTGTAATAATGCTAACACCAATGATCTCAGCCCAGGCGCTTCTGCAGGCCGTGGAGAACCTGATGCTCCATCTACATTATACATACTACATACACACGTAATATTGTCAAGGGGGTCTACTACGCTTTTAGACCAGTACTTTGAATTCCGAATATTTTATTTCCTCTTCACTCTTCCTGTTGGGATCTTCCGAAGCAGGCTGTCATGCGGTACATACTTTGTAACTCGAGGAATATTCTTAATATTTTGCCATGTACTCCGTATACAGCTCGATATTCGAAAACTCAGGCCCTCAGGTAAGACAAATACCTGGATGCAATCAATCTTTATAGTATAGCTAGGAGGCCATGGATGCTTTGTCGTCTTCACGTTATAGTCAAGTGACACACAAATAGACATTGCCCAGACAGGAAAGACTCACTATTCACAATCACGATGTACAGCCTGCACACCTAGGTACCTAATATTCAAATGCTTGCAATTGTGCCTATTTCATGTTTCTTTGTATGCTGGACCAAGAAACCAATGCCTACTACCTCTATGCATGCTTACCGAACGTGCCCAATAACGCCTAATGACCGTCCACTCTTGTCGAGAGAAAGGCACTCCGTGACCTGACCCACGAAATGGGTGCAAATCTAGTAGAACTCCCCATAATGCTCAAAACGCCTAGAATCGCCGCTGGACTACCACGTCGCGAACCGTCCATACATATGCTCAAGAGGTTCAAGCCCGTCTTTGCTTCTTTCTTGGAGTCCAATCCTCTCTGTGATGAATTTGAGGAACTCTCTGGCTTCCCTGGCCCATCTAAGGCTCACCCAGCAGCCGTGCTGTGACATCGCCCATGTATTCCTCCTCAAGATCATACTCAAGGCCATCTCTTTTGTCAATACCAAAGTGTAGAAAGGCTTCGACAACGCGATCAACATCGAACCCCATGCTCACGAATGCGTCTATCATATTCCTGTTATATCCCTTGTACCTACAATATCGTGTTAGCAGAATGCCCGGGACGAATAAAAGGGAACTTGGTCCCATTACCTGGCCTCGGGTATCCTCTGAGGCCCTGCATTAGACATGGACGAGGCTGCCGCGCTATTGTTCTGCCATTTCGCGTTCGGGGGAGCATTGGCAAACCGGACGGCCCACTCGTGAGCCTTGGCCTCAAATGCAGGCTTGTTGTCATTCATCATCTTGGCTACCTCGGCATCTTGGGGGTCTTTCGGCTCTGGGCTTTCGAGCAGTGACTGGAGGGAGAGCAAAGTCGACTTGATCGTGAGCACTGGCGACCATGCTGTGCTAAGTGTGTCTAGACAGATAGCTCCCTAACGCAAACATGTCAGTGAGTATGTCCTGCGAAACGAGGGGAGGGCAGGCAAGGATACGTACAGTTTGGCTGCTCACGTTGGGGTGCCAGATTTTAGTGTCGAACTTCATGATGGGAGGGCGGAAGGGGTACTCGTTGGGTATCTTAACATCAACATTAAAGTTGCCGCCTTCGTATGGTGTTCCAGGAGGTCCCTTGATGCAGGCCTTGAGATGCGTCAAATCGCCGCTGTCATTAGTAGCGGCAGCAGTAATGCCGCTCTTGTCATTGTCCTTGACAATGTCGCCCAACTCCTTGGCTACTCTTCTGGCTCGCGAACTCGCCATGTGTGCTAGAGCGTCCGTTCCCTCTTGTGTAAAATCGTCGAATTCGTGGGATAGAAGCTGTCGGGTCAAAGAGGATGTCAATATTGTGCAAGAACAGCCGCCTCGGATCGATCGTTCAAGATGCAAATGAAACGAGGCTGTCCACAGCAGCGTCGCGTGAACTCCCCTCACACGCCGATGGAGGGGTCTGTCTGCTATGGTGGGGAATTGAGACTTGCTGCCCGCTGGCTGGCTGTGGTTCTGTAGCGTCGTCTGGGTCTGGGCCAACGAGGCTCCACCGAAAATGGCAGTGATGGCAAGGGCGTCGGCGTTGAAGATGCACTCTGGCGGGGCAAATTGAAGAAAGCAGTACTACTATGTAGAAGATGACGATGAAGAAGAAGAAAAAGAACAATGGTTGATTCTGTGTCGTATCTTTCCGAAACAGTAACTACAAAGAAAACAGGTTGGTCACTTCCTGGGTTCGGGGAGATTCTAGATGACGAGCATCGAACATGAAATATTAAAAGCAGCAAGCACCGCCGAGGCGTGCAAGCAACCGGGCAGGCAAGCACACAGCCCAGCTTGTCCATCTACCTAATGTACAGGTAGGTAGGTATTCGGAGGCATTTCGCAATACGAGCCTACCTACTTGAACATCTCTCAAGCGATTCATATTTTTGAGGAAGCAGCACTTTAGATCGACACATATTAGGTCAAATCATACATTTCCAACTCCAGCTATCCATGGCAGAAGTCTTTCTGCTAACCTCGTACTTGGCACACGAGACATTCTTCTAACGAACCGAAATATCTACGTATCCCTTGCCGCAAGTAACTATGTTGGTGGGTTGAGGGTTTTCGAGCTTCGCACATATGCGCACGTCAAGGCACTTTAACATGCAGTGTCTTTAATGTGCTGAAGGAGTAATATCTTCAGGCACATTCATCCATCAAAGTTAACTGGGGTCAGAGATATGGTATAGGATAGAGAAAAAATGCATCGAGGGTCTGGGCTGATTTCCGATGGCTTAGTATGACACGCTCAAGGAGATGAAACTAGTCAATTATGACCGTAGACAGGTCTGTACTGGTAGAAATCAACTGGCTAAATGCCCAAACGAACTTGAAGATTCGTTCTGTCAGGTTGGCCTATACATACATTGTATGCATGCAGCACAAGGCAGGTAAGGTTTGGCGCAAGAGTGGAGGGGAAAGCGCCCGCGTCGGCATTTTCCTTTTCCTCTCCGCCAAAATTTCTCGAAACAGGACGCAATCGATTGGTAGCTTCCAGTGACCCCACCAAGAATTCTCGACTGCCTGCGCATGCAAGCATACAAAACGACCACGCCTCTTGGTGATCGCATTGATGCTCATGTTTGACTCTTGTGGTTTTGCCGTGTGGAGAGAGAGAGGGACATACTATCTCATTTAGATTTGGATCCTACCGAGAGGAGCGATTTGTTCTGTCGACGAGCAATTGGCAACCAAAGCCATGGCGACAACCACCATGACGACCACCATCCGGAAGAAGGATGCAGGTCTTGCGCCGGAGAGCGAGCGCTTCCTTCGCTGCTGTGCCGATGTAGCGAGCGCTCTTATTGAAGACTATGAATCGACCAAGGACCCGAAAAAGCCCAAGAAGGACATCAACCTCAACAGTCTGCGATCAAAGCTCGCCAGGAAGCACAAGCTTGCCAGTCTACCGCCATTGACGGCCATTATCGCCGCCGTTCCCGAGCACTATAAGAAATACATCCTGCCAAAGCTGATCGCCAAGCCGGTCCGATCATCCTCTGGAATCGCCGTCGTGGCTGTCATGTGCAAGCCGCATCGTTGCCCCCACATCGCCTACACCGGAAACATTTGCGTGTACTGTCCTGGTGGCCCCGATTCCGATTTCGAGTACAGCACACAGTCATACACTGGATATGAGCCGACGTCGATGCGAGCTATTCGCGCCCGATACGACCCCTTTGAACAAGCTCGTGGTCGCGTGGACCAGTTGAAGTCCTTGGGACACTCGGTCGACAAGGTCGAATACATTATCATGGGCGGTACTTTCATGTCGTTGGCACCGTCTTACCGTGAAGAATTCATCGCTCAACTACATAACGCTTTGAGTGGCTACCAAACAACCAATGTTGATGAGGCGGTGGAGGCGGGCGAGATGAGTAACAGCAAATGTGTGGGCATCACCATTGAGACGAGGCCAGACTACTGCCTGCAACCGCATCTGTCAGATATGCTGCGCTACGGTTGTACGAGACTCGAAATTGGCGTGCAGTCACTGTACGAGGATGTGGCAAGAGATTCAAACCGAGGCCACACTGTTGCGTCTGTCGCCGAAACTTTCTGCCTGGCAAAGGATGCTGGATACAAGGTGGTCTCGCACATGATGCCGGACCTGCCCAATGTGGGTATGGAACGCGATATCGACCAGTTCAAAGAATATTTTGAAAACCCTGCGTTCCGAACAGACGGATTGAAAATTTACCCAACCCTGGTCATTCGTGGTACGGGTCTCTATGAATTATGGCGCACAGGACGGTATCAGAATTATACGCCAAATGCTCTGATAGACCTCGTGGCAAGAATCCTGGCTCTGGTACCACCGTGGACTCGCATCTACCGTGTGCAGAGAGATATTCCCATGCCCCTTGTGACATCAGGTGTCGAAAACGGAAACCTCAGAGAGCTCGCCCTAGCTCGTATGAAGGACTTTGGCACCACGTGTCGCGATGTGCGAACCCGCGAAGTTGGTATTAACGAGGTCAAGCACAATATCAGACCTAATCAGATTGAACTCATCCGCCGCGACTACACTGCTAATGGAGGATGGGAGACCTTCCTAGCATACGAAGACCCGAAGCAGGACATCTTGGTAGCGCTGTTGCGCCTGCGCAAGTGTACCGAGAAGTACACGTATCGGGAGGAACTTACGGGTCAACAGACCAGTATGGTGCGCGAGCTCCACGTATATGGCACAGCTGTGCCAGTACATGCTCGTGACCCCAAGAAATTCCAGCACCAGGGCTTCGGTACTCTGCTCATGGAAGAAGCTGAGCGCATCGCTAGAGACGAGCATGGTAGCGAAAAGATCAGCGTCATCAGCGGAGTAGGTGTTCGAAGTTACTACAAGAAGCTCGGCTACTGGCTTGATGGTCCTTATATGAGCAAATGGCTTGACGGACGCAAGCAAGAAGAAGCTTGAGGAAATCTAGACAGGTCACGAGATGAAATACCCTACAACAGAAGATACAGGACTTGAAGTTCATGGGGAATTCAGGTCTCGCGAACAAGCACTACAAATTTGAGCGAGCAGGCAAGACATAAAGTGTCTCTGGTTACAACCATCGCGAGCTTTCGGGAATGGACGACGAGAGACAAATGCGCAGATTTCACGATGCATGATATTTACCATCATACAATCGATGTTGCCCACCATCACGTCTCCACTCGTGCTGGTTCGATCTCGTTCGCAACTATTGTCATCAAGCAAAAGCAACAGCTCAGCCAGCTGATCCCATACTGCGTCGAACCGCCGACCAATATTACGATGCTCACCGCACCGCTGTGCGCACAGTTGATTTGAAAAGGCCATGATATCCTGGCTGACATTCATTCTTGAGTCAGGCACGATCGTACGAAGCCACTCGAGGGTTTCTCTTCACGCATATCCGTGTCTCTGGCAAGGCAAGACTTCTGTATCACCCAACGATAGCCTAAAAAATGGTAGTCGAAACTCAATAAATATTACAATCAATCAAGCCCATCACCCCTTTGGAGCTACTCCTCCGAGTGCTAATTCATTCCGACTCTCCATTCGTCGTAGACTGCAGCAGAAAGCTCCTTTAGACAAGTGCGTCAACATTGACTGCCTCATCATCCACGACACCACTAGAATCTTTGCAAGGCCAAATCAATGGAAAGGCCGCGACATTGATCCCGAACAATCCCAAGCTGCACAGATGCCGAAGGGGAAATCCTTCGTGTTGTCGTCTTATTCGCAGGATGTAGAAGTAGTAAGCAGTTTCATTATGCTCGTGCATCCTGACATGTTGATTCGGTTGTCTGCACAATTGCATGTCCCCGGACCAACTACAATGCAGACTAATCTCCATCGTAAGTCGACGCAAACAGGCTGCTTTTCATCATGCAGAAGCACTTTCTCCTGCCCACGTGCTTGCGAGTCCATTGAGGTCCGTTGTCACCGAGAAAATCGCGTCTAGGTGCCGCTTGTTCGGGGAACTGATGGGGAGTGATAGCGTCTCGGCGCCTTGGCAGAGTGCCATGATCGTCCAACTGCAACGCACGACTCCGGCACGCTCTCGGTTACACCCCTGCGACTCAATCTTAACACTACCCTCAGCTGTGCATAGTACGCAAGACATATTGGGCAAATTGCATGCTACACAATGGTAGCTTCCCTATTTCTTGGAGACCATCAGCCTTCCCTGCAGTGGAACCTGCGTGCTTGCTATGCATAGGTATATAAATGATCACCCCCGAGGGCATCAACAGCACAATGTCTGACCACGCGACCACGTTCCTCATCGGTCGATCGTACTGCTTGCCTCGGCCCTTCTCGGAATTATCTTCCTTTCCCGAGCACTTATTGCGCTCATCATGAAACCGGCCACCAAGTTCCTGAGCGCCATCTTGCTCGCTGCCTCGAGCGGCGTTCTGGGCGCACCAGAGGCCGAGCTGCTCATCTCGGCGCGGACGGCGGACTCGGTGGCTTCAGACTTGTCCGCCGTGTACTACTCGGATGTCTCGTCGTCGGTGCCGCTGTTGCTTGGAAACGACAAGGGTGCTGCGTCCGGCGGTATCCGCGCCTGGGCCCTCGATCCCGAGTCGAGCAACGGGACCTTGTCGGCTGTCGCACACCAGACGCCGGGTCGTACCAAGGCTCTGACTACCGTCTACGGCGTGGGGAACCGCGACCTGGTGGTCACGGTCGCGGACCCCGACTCTATTGTGCGTCTCTTTGACGCCAGCACGTTGGAAGTGGTCGACGACTCCCTCAAAAAGGTACTTGGAGCTTGGTCTGTTGTATGTGCCTGGAGAAGCCCGGTGAGCGGCGAGCAATACTTGTACCTCTTTGGAAAAGGCCAGGGAGTACAGTTTCTACTACGAGCTGTAGACGAAAATGAATTCGAGCTTGTCGAGGTTCAAACCTTTGAGACTGCATTTGAGGCTTCTTCGTGCGCAGTTTCACCCGTAGATGGGCTTGTCTTCTTTAGCGGAGATGACGATTCGACAGTCTACACTTTCAACGCCAGCGAGTCTACAGCAACACCCGAGATTACCATACTTGGGAAAGCAAGCGATGATATTACAGGCCTGACCGTTTACGTGAGCCTCGAGACGGATTACCTCCTTGTCGCACAAACCGACATAGTGGAAGTCTACGACACGAGTCTCAACCTCCTCGGGACACTGACTTTGAGCAGTGACGATGATATTGAGATCCAGGGGCTGAGCATCTACCAGGCAGCGACTGATGCATACCCGGCCGGTGCCCTTGCCTACGCCTTGGAGAGTGATGCTGGTGAGGGTTTCGGTGCAAGCTCGCTGGAGACGGCCTTTGAGGCCCTGAACTTGACACTGAATACGGCGTATGATCCGCGCGTCAAGCCGTGCAAACCTGTATCACCTATTACTGAGGCTTGCAATAGAAACGGTTTCTATCAAGAAGACGGCTCTTGTCTGTGCTTTGCGGGTTATGCGGGCGATACATGTGCCTCATTCACGTGTCGCGAGGACTGCTCGGGACAAGGATCATGTATTGGTGCCAACACCTGCGATTGCACCACCGGCTGGGGTGGTCTATACTGCGCCTTCAAGCTTGTCGCAGCGGCCGAGGAAACAGACGCATTTGGCGGAGATGGAGACGACCCAGCCGTCTGGATCCACCCCACGGATAAGTCGCAGTCCAAGATCATTACGACGATCAAGTCGGAGGAGGGTGCCGGACTCGCCGTCTTCCATCTGAATGGCACAACGGCGCAGACGATTTCTGCTGGCGAACCCGATAATGTCGATGTCATTTATGGATTTGAGGCTGGGAGTCGGACCGTGGACTTGGCGTATGCAGCTTGTCGAGACGACAACACTCTATGGTACGAATCGTCATCAGCACCATATCATGCTGCTTAAAAAGTGATGACTGACTGACAGAAACCCTTCTTAGCTTGTTCGAAATCACGTCCAATGGTACCCTGATCGATATCGCCGGTGGCTCGCAACCGACCAAGGACGACTACGACGTCTACGGAAGTTGCGCCTACCGATCACGACTCACGGGCCAGCAGTACCTCTTTGTCAATGCCAAAACGGCCGAGTACCTCCAGTATGAGCTAACTTGGTCCACCGAGTCGGCGGAGCTGCAAACGGTGCTCGTGCGCAACTTTACGGGCGGATCGGGGGGCCAGGTTGAGGGCTGCGTGACCGACGAGGCTAATGGCTGGCTCCTGGTCGGCGAGGAGCCGTTTGGTCTCTGGCGCTACAGCGCCGAGCCCCAGGCAGACTTCGAGACTGTGGATGAGGGATATCTGATCGACCATGTTGGCAGCGATGGACACATGTGGGCCGACGTCGAGGGCGTGACGCTGGTCGAGGGCTCTTCAGCCACCGAGGGTTTCATCCTGGTGAGCCAGCAGGGCGTCAGCGCGTATAACGTCTATCGACGGGCAGCACCACATGATTATGTCCTGACGTTTACCGTCGCGGCCAACGAGGACAAGGGCATCGACGCCGTGTCCAATACGGATGGTATCACGGCCGTGGGCGCGAGCCTGGGTGATGGTTTTCCCTATGGTATTTTTGTCACGCACGACGATGCGAATGAGTTGGCCGAAGGTGGGACGAGTGAGCAGGCTAGCTTTAAGATTGTCAGTCTTGCTGATATCCTGAGCGAGGAGTTGCTTGCTGAGGTTGACCCGAATTGGGACCCTAGGTCATCTTGATCCAAGGACGGTGATTTGCCGCTAATTGTTAGAGGGAAGGAAATGTAGGGCTCAATCATGAAAATAATCGATTATGATGTTGATTTCTCATACACAAGATCAACAATTAAACTTCGATACGCGTTATGAATCTTGACTGCCATAAGCTTCGCTAGGAATTATGTTTTGCTTCTACTTGGTCCCATTTATGCCACTGGCTTTTTGATCTCGTTACTAGGTACCGTAGCGGGGAATAGTGGTTCTAAACAATGATTGTTTTATACACAATGGTTGTGTAGTATTACAACAATTGCTTCATCACACAATCATTGTGTGGCAAACAATCATTGTGTAGCTACTGATTTTCCCCCTATGGTAGGTATGTTTATCCGAGATGCAAACAAGATAATCTTTTGGTGGTGTATGCAGCAGGCCATGCCATCATACATCAGCCTTATCAAATTCAGTACATAGTATCAGCAACAGACCGTCAAGACTGGGGTGTGCGTCTGATTTGCCTTGGCGGTGGGCGAGTAGACGACAGCATTGGGTGGATATATATATGTACTCTGTACTCTGTAAGGCAGAATCCCGCATCGAACAAGGCTGAATATTTCTTACCCCTGGCCAAAAGGCTACAATCTGACGTGAATCCATGGCAGATGGGTCTGTCTTATCCCCAATAAGTAGTCGTCAAGCATGAGCATAGTAAGCATTCAACAGTTTAGAGTGTGTAATAGTAGCCTCGAGGGGGGCATATCCAGCACTCATGATAGTCGGCGATAGACCTCTACTTGTAGTCGCAAGATAAAGGGCCATCGTGCCTTGTCAAGCGAGCAATGAACGTGTACCGAAACTGGATGGCAACCCACACCAGTGTGCTGTGGCAGTCATCGGCTCAGAACCTTCCTCACACGGGAGAAGACACCAATTATCATCTCCACTCAATAGTGCTTACATTGAGGTGGGTATGGGGATAATAGTTGAGCCTGGTCTTCCGCCTCGATGCCATCATTCTCTAGGTCGAAATGCACTTCCTTGTTTCCACCCAGGTGAAATATCCGGAGTTTTTGAAGAAGCTAAAACGAATTCAACTTCGCGACCTACCTTTTCTTTTTTTATTAAAAAAAAAAGAAAAGAAAAAGACATGAGCTGCCGTAACTATAGTTCTTGGTCTCCAGAGTATACATACTAGTAATCGATATGTTGCAATTCGTATTTTGCATGGCAAATACCCTCCCCTCCCTTCCTTCCTTTGTCTCCGCGCTAGCGCTGTGAGAACAAGGGACCTAATACTGCGTACCTATACCGTAAACGTCGAGATTCAATTGAGCGAAAACAAATGACTTCATCGGTTGAATGCCGACACACCCTTGATTATTTACCACGGCCTAGCACTCGGTGCAGAACATCATGTACTAAGCTTAACTCACCTATGTACGTTGGCGAAATCCAATACATCGCGCGCCACTGCACATATGATTTACACGAATGTATCATACAAGCTGACATGAATTCCCCGCCGTGGGCGGACAATGCGGCTAATCAACCGGTACTCAAGGTAGGAGGGGTGTATAACAGCCAGTTCTGTAGCCAATTCTACATTCAGTAAAGTTCCCAGCTCACACAGCCAGAAGGTCCAGTACAGCCCAGAAGACAGCCCGAAGGGTTGCCAGAGGGTCCATCCACCTACATACCTATGCCAAGACCCAGTTGTGAATTCCAAGAAAAAAAAACCAAGAACCACAGCCTGCATCAAGAAGCGTGGGTTGTTTTTGCAAAGGTCGTCTTTCGGACTCGAGCGAAGTATTGATTGCATGGATGTAAAGTAAAAACTGACTTCAAAAGCATTCCGATTGGCCGCGAACGCCACGCCGAGACTTGTGAAGTACGTGGGATGTAGGGTAGGCAGGCTGGGATTGGGTAAAGTAGTAGGTAAAGTAGGTACGGTACACTGCAGTAGGTCTGTATTTTAATAAGTGAAAGAAGAAGCTAACCTATTGTATGTTTCCCACGCAGTCCCCCCCTGCTTTGGATCCATAT